CACTTGTTGGGTTAAAAAGCCTTAATTTAATCATACTAGTAGAAGTAAAATCAAATAATTAATCAAACACATAAAAGACAACAATTTAATGTGATTTGATCTAATAGCCCTACATCCACGAATGAGAAACGAAATTCATTAGTTGTAGAGAATTACAAACAAACAAATTAAATCATCAACTTTTCAATAATCAATACTCATAAGACACTCTTAATTTTCTTTAATCTTATAGAATATTTTTAACCCAAATAAACTCATATCCATGTGCACCCTTTCAACACAAATAAATAATACCCATATGTACCCATTCATCATACTTATGTGTACCCTCTTAATTTCTTCTAGTCCACTCATAAACATACATACCTATAAGATGTAAATCTCTAATACTCCCATGGAATGTCTATCCCATAAAATCCTATAACTTTCTTACATATTTTTTCATACCTAACCCTATAAAGGCTTCACCTATTTATAAGGATACAAATTTACCTATTAAGAATCTCTTTCTTTTATAATTCTTCTTTTGCAAGTCAAACTTACCTATTAAGAATCCATTTTCTTTTAGAATTATTATTTTACAAGTCTTCTTATTCAACAAGTAATATCTGTCCAATTCTAAACAAATCTCTTATGGGATTTGAGTAATTATTTTTAACAATCTTCATCTTAACTCAAATTTTATCAAATTATCTGTCTCATACTAGACATGCTTGGCTTCACTTATAATGAAAGTCTCACAATCACCTTCTCTTGTGTGTTTTTACTTTTTATGCAAATCAATCTTTAATTATCAAAACATGCTCGAACTTTTCTCTTGAATTGAGCTTCTTTAAGCTTACCTCTTTTCATGCCTCAAACTATGTTCTGATACCACTTATTGGGATCACCATAGCTTTGATACCATTTGTTGGTCAAAAGGCCCCAATCCAATCACACTAGCGAAATTAAAATCAAACACACAATAGCTAATAATTTAATATGGTTCGATCTACGGATGAGAATCAATATCTATTAGTTGTAGAGAATTACAAACAAACAAATTAAATCATCAACTTCTCAATAATCTGTCACGCCCTGAGATCGAGACATAACACGACCATATTACTTTAAAGTAAAACCTCAAAGTAATGCGAAGCCTAATCCATAACCATTGAATAACTCTTAAATATAATAAGGTTCTCATTAAACAAAAATAACTAAATAACAAGTCTCCAAAGGTTCAAAGTTGAGTATTACAACTAAAAGAAACAATACTTCATAAAATCTTAATTTTTAAGTAGTTTTTCCAATGCTCGATTCTTCTAGCTTTTCTCAAGCTAATCATACTTATCATTCATAACATCTATAAAAGAAAAAAAAATAGGGAATGAGCAAATCACAGTTCAGTAAGTAAATGCTCACATACCTTATCGGATCAAACATCATTTTCATACATATTATATAGATCGTTCTTAAAATATTTATCAACTCATAATGTCAAAAATAATTCAAAAATTAGCATTCTATTAAGCATTCATAGATAAAAAATCAGAATCAAAATATGTCACCAAATCATGGATCAATTTATAAAAATCATTCATCACAAACCATCATCATCATTCATTTATCATTAGTTACGGTCATTGCTATAACCCCGTGACATTGACCGTATCGATAATTTCATCTCCATGATCATTGCTAACTATTATAACCCGCTAGCCAAGGCCTTACGCTAATTATTATAACCTGTTAGCAAGGCCGTATGATTATGTTTTTGCTAACTACTGTAACCCGTTAACCAGGGTCGTAGAACTAGTTCTGGTATCGATGATCTCACTTCCCAAGGATGTAAAAACATAGCCATCACAAAATTATTCTTTAAACATAAATCATTTTCTCATTTCATTCATAAGCATGATCCATCATTTATATAGAGAAACAAAAAATAATTATATGATTGATCCTATTTTCATACATAAAAAATAATGAAATGAAATATTCATTCATTTAAAAACATACATATATACATAGATTCGAAAACAAGTAAAATGTGTGAGATTCTACTTAGCTCATTTTGATTTCACCACCCAATTTTTCTCTCTCAGTAATTAATGGCCTATTCAAGATAATTTCAACATAACAGTTATTAATCAACCCATTTGAGACCACTTATACTGAAATAATTAAGCTAAATAAGAAATAACTCGGGTAATTAATTCTAGCAGCCTACACTACTTTTACTAAAATGATCATATCTCAAGATATCTAATTCAGAATTAAAATCTTTTTAATGCGTTAAAAACTAGACTCGATAAGCTTTCTAACCATATATGACTCATCTTATGATTCCTTGTGGATTAATCATAACAATTTTTGAAATCCACGTCATATGCTGCTGCCAGACAGCCTGTATACCTTCTCCTAAAAATTGCATATTTATTTATAGAAAACTCCAAATTCAATTTCATTTGTTTCGTTGGAAAGTAGACTCAATAAGCTTTTCAAACATATATGGCTTAACCTATAAATCCTTGTCTAAAAATTAAAAGGAATTTCGCAATTCCTCCTTGCTGCTGCTACTAGGCAGCCTGCACATCCTTAGGTAAAAATTAGGTACTCTTCATAGAAAACTCGAATTCAACTCCCATTTGTTTCATTAGAAAGTAGATTCAACATGCTTTTCTAATGGTATACAATAATCATAGTAGTTTTTAATCTTTTAATACAAAATATAACCTTAATCCATCATTGTAAACACAGGGTTCATATCAAAATTCATACAAAACAAAATTTTCCTTTCTATTCCCATCAAATTTCTGTTTCAGCAATAAAATCACATTATCAATTTTCTCAATACTTAATTAGACCCTAAAATCATCTATCCAAAGAGGGATAATGGAAACCCTAAAATTTTAGGGTTTCTCGATTACAAATTACATCTTAAGACTTAACAATCAATACTTTAAAATTGAAAGAGATTATTTACTCACCTCTAACAGATAATTCTCCTTGTAGATTTGTTCTTTCCCTTCACTTAGAATCTGTCAATTTATCTTTTCTGTATAAGAAACAGAGGAAAATAAGTTTGTATTTTTCTTTGGGTTAGTCGTTGATTGAAAACTGAATAAGTTAACCTTATACTGAAATTTGAGTTATTTATTAATAAGTCCTGTGCATTTCTTAGTCTTTATTAAAGAGTCCCTCCACTTATAAAAATACTTGAAATAGTCTTTTTTTTTACGTAAATTACATAATCAATATTCATAAAACACTCTTAATCTTCTCATCTTATAAAGCATTCTCAACCCAAATAAATACATACCCATATGTACCCTTTTAACACAAACAAACACATATCCATATGTACCCATTCATCATACTTATGTGGACCTCTCAATCTCCTCTAATCTACTCACAAACATACACACCCATAAGATGAAAATCTCCAATATTCCTATGAGGTGTCTATCCCATAAAATCTTACAACTCTCTTACATTTTTTTTTCATAGCTAACTTTATAGAGACTTTACATATTTATAAGGATACAAATTTATCTATTAAAAATCTCTTTCCTTTTAAAATTTTTTTTTTTACAAGTTAAATTTACTTATTAAGAATCTTTTTTTCTTTTAAAATTCTTTTTTTGAAAGTTTTTTTATCCATCAAGTAATATCTGTTCAATCCAAAATAAATCTTTTATGAGATTTAAGTTATTATTTCTAACAATAAATCCACTTACCTGATCTAGTCCAAAGAAGCTCATTCCCAAAGTAGGTTAACCATTATGTTTGGCAAACCAGAGGGCCGTACATTGGAAAATCCAGAGTAACATGCTCAACTGAAGGATTGTTTTTGTGTAAAAACCAAACAGTTCATGTGTTCTTGCTGGTATCTCCAATTAAGAGCCTAGGTAAGATGCCTATCATATCCCATGCTGCGGTCGACAACTTTTACATCATCCTAATTATAAACGGACACCTGTTTTGGCTCATAAATGTATTGAAATTTGAAACTCACTTTCAGTCCAAGCTAGCATCCTTGATTAGCTGGCAGCGGATAGGCATGTTCCCGTAAGGCATGCCAAGAACATTGGACTAGAGAGGTAATGCTTAGCAACTAGCAAGAAACTGATCTTTGATTCCTGCCACACGGTGCTATAGCTATAGCTAGTGTACGTATGCCAAGATAAATGAATTCGCTTATGAAATTATGATTAAAATTGGGAAATTTATGAATCAATCTGATAATAATTAATAATTATAATAAAAACTGATATTAGAATATTGTTTAAGCATGTCTTGGTTCTTTAGTTTTATCTCATATTTGAATCCTAATTTTTAATTAATTAATGAATAATATAATTTTATTTTGCACTGGATATCATGCTGTGGGCAATTACCATTTTTGAGGGTCAGGGATAATATACAATTCATAAGCACATGCATACACTGATTGACGGACTCAACCATCCGCCATATATCGGGCACCAATTCACTGTTACACGCATTGGCTCTATCTTTCTATTAAAGAATTGGATAAACATTAAAAAGAGAGGGAAAAGGCTGCTCAAGCATGCATGCAACAGGTATGGGCAGCAGCTCAAAGAACAAGAAGAGGCCAAGTTCAAATCAAGGAAATTAATTATCAAATTTCCAAGCTATCAATATCTTTACAAGAAAGAGAAAAACCATGAACTCCGGATCTAGAGAAAACTAACCACTTAATTGAGTTGCTGACATAAGGAACATGCAACGAAAGCCCAGAGAAATGCTTTTATGGGTGTGAAAACCAGTGGGCGAGCTTCCTATAAATAGTTTTGGGGGCCCCTTTTAGGCCCAAGTTGTAATATTATACAAATTCCAAGACAAAGTACATGTTGATATTTTCATGCTTGCAAAATTATCAATGCATCAATTTTCTGAGCTCCTCGTTTGATATTTGTCTCTCCTATATATAACCAAACGCCAAGACCAGAAGGTAAAAGACCGCCTTACTTGAGCTGAAGAAAAGTTAGAGAATGGGAATTCGATTGCCTGAGATGATGCTTCATGCAAAGCAAATTATCCGAAGACGGTCACATTCTAAGCACCAATGCTCTTACCAAACATCGGGTGTAGCAAACGTCCCGAAAGGCCATTTCGCTGTTTATGTAGGAGATGAAGAGAAGAACAAGAGATTTGTGGTTCCAATATCCTACTTGAAGCATCCTTTATTCCAAGCCTTGTTAAGCCAGGCTGAGGAAGAGTTCGGTTTTGATTGTCCAGTGGGCGGTCTCATGGTTCCATGCGCTGAAGATGAATTCATCAATCTCACTTCTCGAATAAATCATGCGTGAGTCAATGCCAATAATTAAAGCTCTGGTGATCTTGATTTGGTTTTGGGTAGTTTGATCTTCCATAATTGTAGCTATAGTACTGAAATTTGTAAATGAGTTTGAAGGGTCCAAAATTTTTGCTTCCTGTTTGGGTTTCTTTAAAGGTATAAAAAAAATATGTTAATATTGTATTTTATGCTAGAGCAAATAATTCTGAGAGTTCTTATCTTCAACTTCATTTGTATTGAAGATTTATTTTTCTTGTAACACTCTGTTATGACGAAGGATGAAGATTGCAGAGAATGGATGAGGTAGGATTTATAAATCATCCTAGGTAGTTGGCCAAAGACGGTTTCAGGGCAGTTTTTTTTATCTGAATTTGACATTCAATTTAGGCCTTTTTTTTTTTAATTTTTAAGTTGCCCGATTTCACGAAATTTACTTAGTATTTTGATCTGAATTTAGCCTACAATTTAGGCATATTTTTTGTTTTTGTAGTAGCTAATACCTAGAAATTGTCATAAAATATAATAAAAGGATTGATCATTAATCAAACTTGCTTAGAACATCAGGTTTTCTTGTGAGCAAAGAATAATGATCTTATTGCCAAGCAATTTTTGTTCTTTTTTACCAATTAAAGAATGTTTACATGGGATTAATTGAATTAACCAGACTTACAGAATAAAATTTAAAGAGAGTGCTCCTTTTTCTTTTTTTCTTTTTTTTTTCTGCTTTTACTATCTCAAATCATGTTGTCTCAATGTAGGCAAGAGAAGGAAGAAATTAATGTTTCTGCATCCTATTTTTGGTGCTGCAAGCAACTATGAACAGTTTAATAATGTAGTTAGACTGATGAAGTACTATTCACTGCATGGAATTGTGAGACCACTCATTGGATAGTTGAATCCGAATTCTTCCTCAGCTATACTTAACAACTTCTGAAATGAAGGCTGATTTAATGAAATTGGAAATACAAATCGCTTCTTTTGGCTTTCCCCAAAATAGACTGCCAAGTATCCTTTGGGAACATCTGTTGAGGTGGAGGCGGCTTGATTTTCAAACAGTTTCGTCTGACAAAGAATCTGCTTGGCATGCATAATTCTAGTTACCCGAATAGCCATACTATTAGTAAGTTGGAGTATGTAAAGATCAAAGAAGAGTTTAAAGAAGAACGGTAATTGCAAATTCTTGATATAACCACAAACGGATTTTATCAATTAAATTAGATGACAATTTTGAGTCTAATATTTTGATACTACAAGAATTAACAAAAAAAGAAGTGTTATTTCTAAGAATTAGTGTATGTTGTAGATCTCTGACGGGTGGCCCTTACAATTTGTTTTCCTCTGATAACCCAATACCATTTTGACCTTGAAAAACTTGTCTCAGCTCCCCAATTTTTAATGTGTCTCAACATTCACAGGAAAAAAAGCCCAAAACAAAAATAAACTCTCACCTCTTTTCTGTTCCATATTTTAGTAAATCAGCACAGAAGGTTAAGATAGCCCATGTTATTATGTTTCCTGTCAATGTACTGTATGACAAATTATAAGTCTCAAGCTTGCCTCTAACACAAATGGCGAAGTAGTACTAGTCTTATACCATGAACAACCCATTTACGGATCCAAATCTTCCATATTTTGAGTGGGTCCTTAGTCGGTTTATCTTTGCCGGAAGGAGTAGGCAAACTTTGCTTTCCAGCCATTGCCATGGAATTCTTGATAATGAATTGGAAGACAACGCCATGTGATTCCCCTCATGACCAATGTCTCTATCATTACTGATCAGACCCAAGCAATGGCCCCTTCACCACTCATTCCACATCCCCCTTTTAACACAGGAACATGATTTTCCTTCTACAGCTTTCATCTGTATATACAAGTAAGAATAACTTCACTGGCAACACTTATTTCTCAAGTGCTAAAGTTCTTTACCTTCACTTTGCAAGTTTTTTTAAATCTTCCTGTACTTCCCTTCCAGGAACATATCCATCAAAAAAATGGCGATTCGCCTGCCTCGTATGGTCAGTGCTAAGAAAGTTCCCAGGAGCTACTTTGCAGTTTCTGTTGGAGAAAACCAAAAGAGGTTCGTGATACCAGTGTCATTCTTGAACCAGCCTTTATTTCAAGATTTTCTAGGCTTATCAGAAGAAGAATTGGGATTTGTCATCCTACAGGCGGTCGTGTTGAAGAAATCTTTCTTGATGTTACCTCTCGCTTGAATTGATTGTGTTGTGAGAGAATTAACACAAATCAGCCTATACAATTTTGTAAAGCAAACATCACTATACATTGTAAACACTTTTTTCCCATCCTTTTTTGCCTTGGGGAGCAGATATAAAGTCTTCCTAAGTGGAAAATCAGAGATGGTGGTTCCTGTAACTTCTATCAAACTTTTCAATCAATTGGAAAAAATTACAGTATGAAACGCATTATCCTATCGAAATTTTCATTTTTTTTCTTAGAATTTCCTATGGTCCCCTTCTTCTTGTTTGGTCTTCAATATTTAACCGAACATATGATAATATGTTTTGATTCTATTGTTTTTGCTGCTTAATCAACAATAGTCATGGACAAGAAAAATTTTCAAATTCTTTTACTCCACTCATGTTTATGTAACTAAGTAATAGACAAATGATTGACTATACAACATCAAATAGCAGACTATTGATATTGTAACGCTCTCAATCTCACATCAAGAGGATGTGTGGATAAGGAATGATATATATGTAGAGACTTAATCCCAAACTTGTGAGGCGTCTTTTGTGGGACAAAACCGTGAGACTTTTGGGTCAAAGTGGACAATACCTCGCAGGCTGGGTGCAGGTCTCTATAAATAATATCAGAACGGTCACCAGTCCGCAGTCGTGGGAGTCACTAAGTGTTACACGGTGTGATCTTGGTCCCCCAATCCTACATCAGGAGGATATGTGGATAAAGAATGATATATATATAGAAACTCTGGTGGTCTGGTGTGATCTTGGTCCTGTAGATGGTCACTAAGTGTTACACGGTGGTCTGGTGTGCTCTTGGTCCTGTGGATTGACTCGGCTTGACAGGGACGTCAAGCATTAAAGGTGAAGAGATTGTAACGCCCCCAATCCCACATCAGGAAGATATGTGGGTGGATAAAGAATGATATATATATATATATATATAGAGACTCTGGTGGTCTACATCAGGAAGATATGTGGGTGGATAAAGAATGATATATATATATATATATAGAGACTCTGGTGGTCTGGTGTGATCTTGGTCCTGTGGATGGACTCGGGCTTGACAGGGACGTCAAGCATTAAAGGTGGGGAGATTGTAACACCCCTAATCCCACATCAGGAGGATGTGTGAATAAAGAATGATATATATATATATATAGACTTAATCTCAAACTTGTGAGACTTTTTTTGTGAGACAAAACCGTGAGATTTTTAAGTCAAAGCGGACAATACCTCGCAGGTTGGGTGTAAGTTTTTACAGTTATAATCCAACTTATGGTTTTTTTTTTTTTTTTCATCTCCAAATTTGAGTATTTTTCTTCTTTAGTTTTCTCCTCTTTAGCTCTCTCTTTTTCCTACCAATGGCTGTATCTAGTACATTGATGTCAGCAATTATAGGATTCAGTTTCAGGTCAGCAACAGGGATGCAAGGAAACAATCATCAGGAATATTTTGCCATTCATTCCTACATTCCTACAATCTTCTGGATTGATGATATCCATTTTTAGATCAAATAACCATAAATTAGACAGAGTGACTTGATCTTGATGCCCTCATGTCCTTAATAGATTAGAAATAATTTCCTTGTGACCTAACATCTTTTTTAGCCAAAGAGTTAAGATTAAAAAAGAGGTGAGAATGAGGCTTTAATAATTAATGGTCAATATCTACAGATAACTCAACAAATACAGCACTAGAAATGTGGGTTAAAACAGGATTCCTCCGTAAGGTTATATAGTTAGCGACATATACCGCAAATTTCGTGAGTTGTCAGGCTCAAGATTGTTTTTCTCTTCCACCGCACAATTTGATGAGGACAAGTTGTAGCCTGTAGGACACACTTCGGGCGCTCTTCAGAAGTGTTTGTCTTGCAAGTTAATCCACCGAAGGAACACATGCCTGTGATTTTGCGTTGGGACATGTTATAAATTCTGATATATTCTTGCATTTACGGCTGCTTGTTACTGTTTAAGCTTCTTGTATAGTTGTATATCCGCGGAGGAAAAAGTCCAGCCAGATTGCTTTAATCTTCAAGAGGACAAACAAACAAAACTAGTCCAACTAGATGGTTTATTGATCAGAGCAAAGGACAATGAAGTTAGGTGTAGATAACCAATTTATGCAAACAACATCATATGAAGAGGCCCGTTACGTCGACCACAAATGGATTGATATCACAGATTCAAGGATATATCGACCAAGCATGTCACCAACATCAAGAAAAGGAACTTTTCCTATCTTATATCTCCTTGATTCCAAATGGGTCCATTAATTGTTGGTTATTCTTTTAGAATGGCTGGGAAACAAAGCATAATTCTAGCAGATGTACAGTCTCAATAGCCAACTATTTCTTGATGATCTGTTGGAAGACACAGCCATGTGATATTGAGCTTCTTATGTCTTCTAACCAAACCCCACCAGAATGCACCTTGACCACTCAATCTGCAAATCATTAGTTTCCTATATTCATTTTTCCATCTATATATACAAGTGCATTATCCACACCACAGCCCAGGCATTCTCACATCCTCCTCTACTAGCAAATCTTACTGTTCATTAAACTCTTCTCTGATCTTCTACATACTTCAAATTACGACCAGCAATGGCTATCCGAGTGCCTAGAATTATGCATGCCAAGCAGATTCTTCGTCAGTCGAAACTGTTTGCTAATCAAGCTGCCTTCACCTCAACAAACGTTCCCAAAGGATACTTTGCAGTCTATGTTGGGGAGAGTCAAAAGAAGCGATTTGTACTTCCAATTTCATTCTTGAATCAGCCTTTATTTCAGAAGTTGTTAAGTATAGCTGAGGAAGAATTCGGATTCAGTCATCCTTTGGGTGGTCTCACAATTCCTTGCAGAGAAGAGGTCTTCATTGATCTCACTTCACGCTTGCATTAGTTGTCTACTGCTAAACAATAATCAGCTGATACAATTTTTTTTCCATTCATGTACATCCTTCTGTTCTTTTGGCGGAAAGCGATGACCAAATGTATACTTTACTGAGAACTTATTTTAATACAAATTACAGTGGTTTATTCTCAAATTTTCCTTTCATTTATTCTTCTCAAAAACATTGTTCATTTGGTAACTTGATATTGCTCCTTTTCCGGATTTAGTGTTACGTTGTTCAAATACTGTTAATCATGTTGTCTCAATGTAGGCAAGAAGAAATTAATGTTTCTGCATCCTATTTTTTGTGCTGCAAGCAACTATGAACAGTTTAATAATGCAGTTAAACAGATGAAGTACTCGTCACTGCGTGGAATTTTAAGACCACTCATTGGATGGTTGAATCCGAGTTCTTCCTCAGCTCTACTTAACAACTTCTGAAATGAAGGCAGATTTAATGAAATTGGAACTACAAATCGCTTTTTTTGGCTTTCCACAACATGGACTGCAAAGTATCCTTTGGAAACATCTGTTGAGGTGGAGGAGGTTTGATTTGCAAACAGTTTCGACTGACGAAGAATCTGCTTGGCATGCATAATTCTAGGCACATAGATAGCCATTGCTATTAGTAATTTGGAGTATGTAGAAGACGATGGGTTTAGAGAACGGTAATTGCAAACGCTTGTAGTGGTTTGTATATCTTGTTGGGAGTTTTTTAGAATACCATTTTGACCTTGAAAAACTTGTCTCTGCTCCCCAATTTTTAATGTGTCTCAATGCTCACAGAAAAGAAAAGAATAATTTTTTGGGTGCCCAAAACAAAAATAAACTCTTAGCTCTTTTCTGCTCCATATTGTAGTAAATCAGCATGGAAGGTCAAGATAACCCCTGTTATTATGCTTCCTGTCATTGTATTGTATGACAGATTATATGTCTCAAGCTTGCCTCTAACGCAAATGGTGAAGTAATACTACTCTTATGCTGTGAACAACCTATTTACGGCTTTAAGTCTTCCATATTTTGAGTGGGTCCTTGGTCGGTTTGTCTTGCCGGAGTGGGTAGGCAAACTTTGCTTTCCAGCCATTGCCATGGAATTCTTGATAATGAATTGGAAGACAACACCTTGTGATTCCCCTCATGACCCATGTCTCTTTCATTACTGATTAGACCCCAGCAATTGCACCTTCACCACTCATTCCAAATCCCCCTCTTAATACAGGAACATGATTTTCCTTGTACAGCTTTCATCTATATATAAAAGTAATATAACTTAATTGGCAACACTTATCTTCACATTCTCAAGTACCAAAGTCGTTTACCTTCACTTTACTAGTTTTTTTAATCTTCCTGTACTTCCCTTTAGTTTTTTGAATCTTCCTGTACTTCCCTTCCAAAGGAACATATCCATCAAAAAATGGCCATTCGCCTGCTCGTATTGTCATTGCAAAGAAAGTTCCCAGGGGCTACTTGTCAGTTTATGTTGGAGAAAACCGAAAGAGGTTCGTGATACCAGTGTCATTCTTGAACCAGCCTTTATTTCAAGATTTGCTAGGCTTATCAGAAGAAGAATTCGGATATAGTCATCATACAGGCGGTCTCAGAATTCCTTGTGTTGAAGAAATCTTTCTTGATGTTACCTCTCGCTTGAATTGATTGTGTTGTGAGAGAATTAACACAGATCAGCCTATACAAGTTTGCAAACATCACTAATACCATGTAAACACTTTTTTCCCATCCTTTTTTGCCTTGGGGAGCAGATATAAAGTCTCCCTAAATGGAAAATTAGATATGGTGGTTCCTGTAACTTCTGTCAAACTTTTCAATCAATTTGAAAAAATTACAGTATGAAACGCATAATCCTATCGAAATTTTCATTTCTTTTTAGAATTTCCTATGGTCCCCTTCTTGTTTGGTCTTTAATATTTAACTGTACATATGATAATATGTTTTGATTCTATTGTTGTTACTGCTCAATCAACAATAGTCATGCACAAGAAAAAATTTTCAAATTCTTTCACTCCACTCATGTTTATGTAACTAAGTAACAGACAAATGGCTGAAAACGACATCAAATAGCAGACTCTCGACATAATCCAACTTGTAAATTTTTCCATTTTTTCATCTCCAAAGTTGAGTATATTTTTTCTTTAGTTTTCTCCTATTTACCTCTCTCTTTTTCCTACCAATGGCTGTATCTAGTAAATTGATGTCAGTAATTATAGGATTCAGTTTCAGCTTAGCGACAGGAATGTAAGGCCGCAATCATCAGGAATATTTTGCCATTCAATCCTACATTCCTACAATCTTCAGGATTGATGATATCCATTTTTAGTTCAAATAACTATTTAGACAGAGTGACTTGATCTTGATCCTCTCATGTCCTTAATAGATTAGAATTAATTTCCTTTTGACCTGACATCTTTTTTAGCCAAAGAGTTAAGATTAAAAAAAAGGTGAGAATGAGGCTTTAACAATTAATGGTCAATAAATAAAGATAACTCAACAAATATAGCACCAGAAAAGTGGTTAAAACAGGATTCATCCGTAACGTTATATAGTTAGCGACATATACCACAAATTTCGTGAGTTGTCAGGCTCAAGATTGTTTTTCTCTTCCAAGGCACAATTTGTTGAGGACAAGTTGTAGCCTGTAGGACACACTTCAGGCGCTCTTCAGAAGTGTTTGTCTTGCAAGTTAATCCACCGAAGGCACACATGCCTGTGATTTTGCGTTGGGACATGTTATAAATTCTGATATATTCTTGCATTTACGGTTGCTTGTTACTGTTTAAGCTTCTTGTATAGTTGTATATCCGCCAAGGAAAAGTCCAGCCAGATTGCTTTAACCTTCAAGAGGACAAACAAACTAAACTAGTCCAACTAGATGGTTTATTGATCCGAGCAAAGGACAATGAAGTCAGGTGTGGAAAACCAATTTATGCAGACAAAATCATATGAAGAGGCCCTTTAGGTCGACCACAAATGGATTGATATCACAGATTCAAGGATATATCGACCAAGCATGTCACCAACATCAAGAAAAAGAACTTTTCCTATCTTATATCTCCTTGATTTCAAATAGGTCCATTAATTGTTGGTTATTCTTTTAGAATGGCTGGGAAACAATGCATAATTCTAACAGATGTACAGTCTCAATAGCCAACTATTTCTTGATGATCTGTTGGAAGACACATCCATGTGATATTGAGCTTCTTATGTCTTCTAGCCAAACCCCACCAGAATGCATCTTGACCACTCAATCTGCAAATCATTAGTTTCCTATATTCATTTTTCCATCTATATATACAAGTGCATTATCCACACCACAGCCAAGGAATTCTCACATCCTCCTCTACTAGCAAATCTTACCGTTCTTTAAACTCTTCTCTGATCTTCTACATACTTCAAATTACGACCAGCAATGGCTATCCGAATGCCTAGAATTATGCATGCCAAGCAGCTTCTTCGTCAGTCGAAACTGTTTGCCAATCAAGCCGCCCTCACCTCAACAGTTGTTCCTAAAGGATACTTTGCAGTCTATGTTGGGGAGAGTCAAAAGAAGCGATTTGTAGTTCCAATTTCATTCTTGAATCAGCCTTCATTTCAGAGGTTGTTAAGTATAGCTGAGGAAGAATTCGGATTCAGTCATCCTTTGGGTGGTCTCACAATTCCTTGCAGAGAAGAGGTCTTCATTGATCTCACTTCACGCTTGCATTAGTTGTCTACTGCTAAAAAATAATCAGCTGATACAATTTTTTTTCCATTCATGTATATCCTTCTGTTCTTTTGGCAGAAAGCGATGACCAAATGTATACTTTACTGAGAACTTATTTTAATACAAATTACAGTGGTTTATTCTCAAATTTTCCTTTCATTTATTCTTCTCAAAAACATTGTTCAGTTGGTAACTTGATATTGCTCCTTTTCAGGATTTAGTGTTACATTTTTCAAATACTGTTAATCATGTTGTCTCAATGTAGGCAAGAGAAGAAAGAAATTAATGTTTCTGCACCCTATTTTTTGTGCTGCAAGCAACTATGAACAGTTTAATAATGTAGTTAGACGGATGAAGTGCTCCTCACAACATGGAATTTTAAGACCACTCATTGGATGGTTGAATCCAAATTCTTCCTCAGCTCTACTTAACAACTTCCGACATGAAGGCTGATTTAATGAAATTGGAACTACAAATCGCTTCTTTTGGCTTTCCCCAACATTGACTGCAAAGTATCCTTTGGGAACATCTGTTGAGGTAGAGGCGGTTTGATTTGCAAACAGTCTCGACTGACGAAGAATCTGCTTGGCATGCATAATTCTAGGCACTCAGATAGCCCTTGCTATTAGAAATTTGGAGTATGTAGAAGACGAGGGGTTTAGAGAACGGTAATTGCAAATTCTTGTTGTGGTTATCTATCTTGTTGGGAGTTTTTTAGAAAAAAAAAATCAATAATTAATCATTCACTGGATAAAAATATGATTTATAATTGCAAATTCTTTATATAACCATAAACTTTTATCAATTAAATTAAATGACAATTTCAAGTTTAATATTTTGATACCACAAGAATTAACTAAAAAAAGTGTTATTTCCAAGAATTTGTATGTTGTAGATCTCTAAAAGTTGGATTTATTTTCCTCTGATAACCCAATACCATTTTGACCTTGAAAAACTTGTCTCTGCTCTCCAATTTTTAATGTGTCTCGACATCCACAGAAAAGGAAAGAACAATTTTTTGGGTGCCCAAAAAAAAAAAGAGCCCAAAACAAAAATAAACTCTTACCTCTTTTCTGCTCCATATTGTAGTAAATCAGCATAGAAGGTCAAGATAACCCATGTTATTATGCTTCCTGTCATTGTATTGTATGACAGATTATATGTCTCAAGCTTGCCTCTAACGCAAATGGCGAAGTAACACTACTCTTTATGCTGTGAACAACCTATTGACGGATTCAAGTCTTCCATATTTTGAGTGGGTCCTTGGTCGGTTTGTCTTGCCGGAATGGGTAGGCAAACTTTGCTTTCCAGCCATTGCCATGGAATTCTTGATAATGAATTGGAAGACAACGCCATGTGATTCCCTTCATGACCCATGTCTCTTTCATTACTGATCAGACCACAGTAATTGCCCCTTCACCACTCATTTCACATCCCCCTCTTAATACAGGAACATGATTTTCCTTGTACAGCTTTCATCTATATATACAAGCAAGCATAACTTCATTGGCAACACTTATCTTCACATTCGCAAGTACTAAAGTCGTTTACCTTCACTTTACTAATTTTTTTAAATCTTCCTGTACTTCCCTTCCAAAGGAACATATCCATCAAAAAATGGCTATTCGCTTGCCTCGTATTGTCAGTGCAAAGAAAGTTCCCTGGGGCTACTTTGCAGTTTATGTTGGAGAAAACCAAAAGAGGTTCGTGATACCAGTGTCATTCTTGAACCAGCCTTTATTTCAAGATTTGCTAGGCTTATCAGAAGAAGAATTCGGATATAGTCATCATACAGGCGGTCTCAGATTTCCTTGTGTTGAAGAAATCTTTCTTGATATTACCTCTAGCTTGAATTGATTGTGTTGTGAGACAATTAACACAGATCAGCCTATGCAATTTTGTAAACATCACTAATACCATGGAAACACTTTTTTCCCATCCTTTTTTGCCTTGGGGAACAGATATAAGGTCTCCCTAAGTGGAAAAGTAGAGATGGTGGTTCCTGTAACTTCTATCAAACTTTTCAATCAATTCGAAAAAATTACAGTATGAAACGCATCATCCTATCGAAATTTTCATTCTTTTTAGAATTTCCTATGGTCCCCTTCTTCTGTTTGGTCTTTAATATTTAACTGTACATATGATAATATGTTTTGATTCTATTGTTATTACTGCTTAATCAACAATAGTCATGTACAAGAAAAATTTTCAAATTCTTTCACTCCACTCATGTTTATGTAACTAAGTAATAGACAAATGGCTGAAAACAACATCAAATAGCAGACTATTGACATAATCCAACTTATTGTAATTTTTTCTATTTAGTCATCTCCAAAGTTGAGTACATTTTTTCTTTAGTTTTCCTTTACCTCTTTCTTTTTCCTACCAATGGCTGTATCTAGTATATTGACGTCAGTAATTATAGGATTCAGTTTCTGCTCAGCGACTGGAATTTAAGGCAACAATCATCAGGAATATTTTGCCACTCAATCCTACATTCCAACAATCTTCAGGATTGATGATATCCATTTTTAGATAAAATAACTATTTAGACAAAGTGACTTGATCTTGATGCTCTCCTGTCCTTACTAGACTAGAATTAATTTCCTTTTGACCTCACATCTTTTTTAGCCAAAGAGTTAAGATTTAAAAGAAAAAAAAAAGGTGAGAATGAGGCTATAATAATTAATGATCAATATATAAAGATAACTCAACAAATATAGCGCCAGAAATGTGGGTTAAACAGGTTTCCTCTGTAAGGTTATATAGTTGGCGACATATACCAGAAATTTCGTGAGTTGTCAGGCTTAAGATTGTTTTTCTCTTCCAGGTTATAATTTGATGAGGACTATTTGTAGCCTTTAGGACACACTTCAGGCGCTCTTCAGAAGTGTTTGTCTTACAAGTTATTCCACCAAAAGAACACATGCCTGTGATTTTGCGTTGGGACATGTTATAAATTCTGATATATTCTTACGTTTACGTCTGCTTTAAGCTTCTTGTATAGATGTATATCCGCCGACGAAAAGTCCAACCAGATTGCTTTAACCTTCAAGAGGACAAACAAACTAAACTAGTCCAACTAGATGGTTTATTGATCCGAGCAAAGGACAATGAAGTCAGGTGTAGAAAACCAATTTATGCAGACAATATCATATGAAGAGGCCCATTAGGTCGAACACAAATGGATTGATATCACAGATGCACAGATATACCTAGTAAGCATGTCACCAACATCAAGAAAAGAAAGTTTTCCTATCTTATATCTCCTTGATTTCAAGTGGGTCCATTAAATGTTGGTTATTCTTTTAGAATGGCTGGGCAAGAATGCATAAATCTAACAGATGTACAGTCTCAATAGCCACCTATTTCTTGATGATCTGTTGGAAGACACAGCCATGTGATATTGAGCTTCTTATGTCTTCTAACCAAACCCCACCAGAATGCGTCTTGGCCACTCAATCTGCAAATCATTAGTGTCCTATATTCATTCTTCCATCTATATATACAAGGGCGTTATCCACACCACAGCTAAGGCATTCTCACATCCTCCTCTACTAGCAAATATTACCGTTCTTCTTTAAACCCTTCTCCAAATTACGACCGGCAATGGCTATCCGAGTGCCTAGAATTATGCATGCCAAGCAGATTCTTCGTCAGTCGAAACTGTTTGCAAATCAAGCCGCCTCTACCTTAATAGATGTTCCCAAAGGATACTTTGCAGTCTATGTTGGGGAGAGCCAAAAGAAGCGATTTGTAGTTCCAATTTCATTCTTGAATCAGCCTTCATTTCAGAAGTTGTTAAGTATAGCTGAGGAAGAATTCGGATTCAATCATCCTATGGGCGGTCTCACAATTCCTTGTAGAGAACAGGTCTTCATTGATCTCACTTCACCCTTGCGTTACAATTAGTTGTCTACTGCTAAAAAATAATCAGCTGATACAATTTTTTCCATTCATGTACATCCTTCTGTTATTTCGGCAGAAAGAGATGACCAAATGTATACTCTACTGAGAACTTATTTTAATACAAATTTAAGTGGTTCTATTCCCAAATTTTCCTTTCATTTATTCTTATCAAAAATATTGTTCAGTTGATAACTTGAGATTGCTCCTTTTCAGGAGTAAGTGTTACATTGTCCAATCTTTCAAAAATTGGCACGATGAAACGAATATTGAAATATTGTTAATCATTGGAATAAAGAATAGCAGCGACCATCAATTTCTTGAGTCATTGACAAGATCAACCCGCTATCAGAAAAACTTTTCTTCAATAACGTGCAGCATTAGGGTAAGTATTCACAGCATACCTGAAAACACCAATCTGGCTCCAATCCAAGCCTGGAATCCTACTCGCTTCAGCGGAAAAGTAACCCTGACTTTTCCCGTAAAATAAGTGCAGAGAAACTAGAAAACCTTGAAACTTGAAAGGAAGAAAATCAGGAAAACAAATATCACATATGCTATTGCTATTAGTCAGTATTTAATTCTCTATTTACTGGGGTACAATACAACTTACAAAACCTGAAAAACAGTAACATTTGAGAAAGATGGGCTTGGGTAATTTGGCTTCATATCATATGCCATTAGGCCCGTTACCTTCTTTTTGACCCAAGCCTCTTAATTGAACCCTATTCTTGTTTTGCTTTTTGCTGAGCAAAATTTTTTTATCCGGTACGGAGATCAAACTCCAAATATTTTCAAAGCATGTTTTGGACGAAAAATGATTGATTTGACTATAATTATTCTGTTAAAAATATTGATTCCATTAAGAATAAACATTGGAAACTATATTAGAAAGTGTAATTACACCCAATTCATGTTGTAAAAACTTAAATTTGAATTCTACAGATCCTAAAGAAAATAACACCAATTTAGGCAATAGAATAGCAGGAGCGTCTTATTCTCTCTACAATTGCAATCTCCCAAAACATATTTCTTTATCATGTTTCTGATCAAGACGACAGGTGGGCTTGCATTATACATGGCCATCGAGCATCCAACTGTCCATTTCTCATCTTTAAGGTTCTCATCTTTGTTAGTTTGTTGGTAAACAAGGCCATGTGAAAGGCGGAGGCTATCATGAATTATTACCCAAACAAGCAACCCCAGGAAATGAATCTCGGCCTTTCAGTTTCACTTCAAGAATCATAGCATTTCCTTTCCTGTAACCATTCAATCTATATATATCCACTCATTTCTGTCCCAGGCTCATCACACTCAGGTCAAAAGTTTTCTCTATCTAGCAATTCTCTTTAAATCTTTTACATACTTGAAACTCTTATATTTGTCATCACAAGCAATGGCTACTCGTTTTATTGCAAAGCAAATTCTGCGCCGTTCTGTTTTTGCTGTAAGTAAAGCAGCTTCAACAGAAGGAGATCTAGTACCAAAAGGCTTCCTCGCAGTTTATGTTGGGGAGACCCAAAAGAAAAGATTTGTGGTTCCAGTAACTTTCTTGAACCAACCTTCATTTCAAGCTTTGTTGAGTAAAGCTGAAGAAGAGTTTCGCTTTGATCACCCTATGGTTGGTTTGACAATTCCATGCAGAGAAGAGACTTTCATTAATGTCACTTCCCAGTTGAACGGGTAAGAATAGGCAAGTCAAGCCATTGAAGATTGCCTATATAATGGGTGATGTATGACTCACCTGTCATCGCCTTCTGCCTAGAATCACGATTGCGAGCTATTTTCATTAGTGGAACATTCAGTAACAGGTCATTCGTTTTTCAAATACCACGGCATGACTTAAAAGGCGACCTAACCTGTCCAAGTTCCTGTGGTTGAAGCATTTGAAGATTCCGGATTAATCAATTACGCCTGGCAAAGCCTCATGAACGACAAGAGCCAGAGATGGTGAAAACAACTGGACACAATCTATTCTTATCAGCCACGAACCAAATCAAAGAATCAAACTTGTAATTTTGTATTTTTATGAAAAGAGAACAAGGGGAAAAAAATCCTTGTTTTGTTCAATTGCAAATATCAAAATTAAGTCTTTGTTCCTTTTCCCTATTTTTGTCACCTCTGTTTCAGTGTTACAAGCACTCGCACGAGTTAATTAACTCATCACGATGCAGACATTGGTACACTTTTAATAACCTTTTTTTAGGATCATCGTGCATATATTTTTATTTTTTTATATATTTAAAGTTATTAAGATTTGAATCTGATCACTAAAATTAAAGTCTAACACTTTATTAAGATATAACATGTCGGCCATCATGGCCCTATTTTCTGTACTGTCAAGTCTTCATAAAGCTAAAAATCATACAAGGCTTGATGTTCAAGATATGGTTGTCTAGGTGCTCTTCTTTATCTTATTTCATAATTGATCTTTTCTTAAATCATCTTTCAAGACTATGTTTGAATAAGAAGGCAGAAGGCGCAACCATGTTCGAGCTTCGGTTTGAATTTTTTTTTAACCTCTTCTGGTTTAATTCTCAATTTATTGGAAACACAAAGGTTAGGTTGGTTTGATATAATCATATAATGAATAAATTTTTAGCAAGTGCCCTTAAAAATATCGGAGGTACATTGTACACGAATTACCAAATCTACTTACAAGGTTTTATACGCCGCTGATCACATAATGAGGTCGTGCCCTTACTATGCTGATTGCTCAATGTAACCACAATGACAACTAGTGATGAAGAGAAAGTTTGTGGAACCGATCCTTCAAATTTGAGTTGGCTGCCAATCTTTTGTTCTTTGTGTGTCTGCAACAATTTGATAACCTCCTCAATTTCCAGGTTGGTGGTTCGTTTTAAGTCTAGTTGAGACTAGACTCTAGAGCTACTAGGAGGGCGTACTTCACGTGCACTTCACAGGGTTTTGTCTTACAAGTTTATGCCTGGAACATTGCATGCCAATTGATTGATATTATAGTAGTTTTTTGCTTGGGAAAAAAAAATCTAATCTTTTGGGTCCTTTTCAAAAGAAACTGGGATTCAGATTTTGTGATCATAGAAAAGGGATTTTTACTTATTCCTATGGATTTATGTTGCATATTAGTGGAATTCCATTAAGTGCTTTAAACCAATGTACTTATGTTTGTGTTTGTGCCATTGCGGGGTTTATTATGATCTGTTTTGTCATGAACATTTTTAGGGGTCAAGCCTGAGAAAATCAAAAAGAGAAGACAGATGAAATGGAGGACATTACCGTATCAGACATTAAATCTAGCCTTTTTGGATCACTTTCTGAGCCTTAGAGCATGGAGATATAACTTGCTTGAAATGGAACAAGGCTAGGATGATATCAGTGGCGCACATTTGAAGTGTAGCAAGTATGTCTCCGAACTATAAATATTTTCCCACTTGATGGTGGAGCCTTGAGATTTCATCAGGATCACATGCAAACCCATCTACCCTTGGAACGCACTTTCCAGCAGCCAACACTGCTGAAATAGATAATCAAATAATAACCAAAATAACCATAATTTTTTTTTCTTGTTCATTTTATATTCACAATGCGTTCTTCGCATTGTCGAGATCATCTTACTCATTTTTTTTAAGTTTTAGAAGCAGTAACCAATTTGATTAAGACTCAACATCTGTCCGGCCAGATGATCAACGGCAACTTGAGAGGTCACTGACAATTCAAATCAAAAATTATCAGAGGGGAATATTTTTCTCATTCTTTTCGATTCGATTATATATACCAGTGCTCAGTTCAGTAATTCATTGTCATTAGAAACATGGTGAGACCGCCACAGCATAAGGGAAAAATACACAGTACGGTGTTGGTGATGGAATTGATTACTCAATTATATTAAACAATATAGGATAAAGATACAAGGGTGGTCCTATCTATTAACTGAACTGAGCACTGACCATGTAAAAAGCCAATGAATTATAGTCACAACCTGCAAAACTAGCAGTAAAAAACACATGGGTTTCTGCAAAAATTTTGGATAATGCTGTGAAGATTTTTTTTTTTTTTCTGCCTCTCAGACCACAGAATCACAAGCCAAAACAATCAAAAAAATAAAAACGAACAAAACTGCTGTACTCTCCGGTATAGCCATGATTGGTCCGTGATTTCAGGTAGAAAGAGACAGGGAGATGATACAGCTTAGATTTTTTTTTTTTTCTGCATAGAGGATGGGCGATGGGATCGGGGGAGTTACTAGGTCAATAAGTTGGATAAGAAAGAATATAAATCAGACAAGCTTTTTTTTCTATAATCCGGGAAACTTTTTCAATATAACTGGTCTAACAAAACTACTTGCTAAAACTATTAGCGAGTTTTTTGCCTTTACGGCCATTTTGATTACATGAAATATATACAAGGGGCCAAAAGTACCGATCTGCATCGCAATGAAAATGAAAATTGCTATTGCTATCAACAGCCTAAACTGCAAAGACGGGGAAAGAAGAAAAAAGTTGAAAATCACAACGTTAGAGCTAGATAAATCACTTGATAGAGAGAGAGAGAGAGAGAGAGAGAGAGAGAGAGACGGAAGGGAGGATCAATGATAGCACATCAACTGTAATTATTATAATGCAATTAACTAATCATATTTTAACATTTTTTATAATGATTGGTTCATTATAATATTATAATAAAAAAAATTGTAGATAATATGAAAAGAGTTGATGTTGTCAATAAGAGGGCCAACATAGAATAGAAAAGCAAATGGGGTTTAGCTCCCACCAAGTCCTTGCACATGTAACACGTACCCCAAAACACCCGTAGTATGTCCTTTGGCTTTGCCCCCCATTAGACCCCTCTGGCCCTCTCTCCCTTTCTCTCCTTCCAACTCTCTTCATAAATAGCTAGCTTCTCTTTTTTTTAACATCATTCTTCATTGTGATTCTTGATCACTCTTTTTCTTTCTTCTTTTTTTGGTTTTTGCTACTATTTTGAAACCATTAATTTGGGTTTTTTTTTTTTTAATGTATGATTAGTCATTAGTGACTCTAACTTAGACGAAAGAATTTTAAAATTTTCTGGGTTAGATTATTTGTATAAAGTTTGTTTCCTCACAGGTTGTGGATTGTCACACAACTGCCAGAGAAACGTTGAAAGTTAAGTAAAGCAAGGTTACAATAAGCCTATTTAGCTTCACAAGCTCCATCTCTCATTCTCTCTTTCTCCATCTTTCACTTTTGTCTCATAAAATGCAGCTTTCAATAGAAAGAGAGGACTCCGATTTCAAATTGAAGTTAAGTCAAATCAAGTGAAGAACATGTAAGAAAAAAAAACATTAGAATGTGCACCACAGCAACATGGCTTGTCAAAGAATGTTGGGTACGTAAGCAAAGAACGGATCACAAGTTTTGAAATTAGGGAAGGAAGATGGGTTATGAATCAAATGTGATTTAGATTAAAAAAAAAAAGTTGGGCTTAGGTAAATTTATCAAGTAATCACAAGTACAGATTATAAGTATTTAACATCAATAATAAAAGTTATTATAATTATGATTAAAAAATTTATTATAATCATAATTAAATATATTTTATTAAAATTAATATTTAAATTTAATTAATGATACGATAAATTCAATTATACCGTACTAAAAATGTAATGAAATCCAAACTCCCCTAAGTCATGCGCATTCATCGGCAAAATGGACTCCAATGATTTACATCTCTTCTACCTTCAAATCAAAATAATACTACAAAAAAAAAAGAAACTTGACTAAATAATTAATACATTTCAAAGTTAGACTTTAATTGAAAACCGTTGGCGTAGCTGTTTTAGACCATAAAATGTCTCTATCAAAAAGGATAACGATGGTTAGGCCGACTTTTAAGATAAACTTGATTGGTGGATTTTTTTTAGTTTTTTTAGTTGAGAATACATTTAATCGAGACAAAAAAAACAAATCATGAATCTAGTTACCTACTAAATTTTTTGTCATCTTCACCTTGCTAATTTTGTTGATTTCATATATGATCATGATTTAATGAAAATAATCTTAAATATAATTTTTCAATGTGAATGGAATCTTATCCAATTGTCACCCTTTTTTATCAAAATGAAAAGACGACATTAACAATCGCTTAATCAAAAAGGCTAAAACATTATCTAATTCAATCAATTCCACACTTGATTTGATAAGTTGTCGATGCACCCAAGACACAAGGATAATTAATTGTCTCAGTTGTGAAATATTGTTCATTTTTTAAAAATAAATACGTTTTGACAGGATCTTGACTGGATAAAAATAACCTTTACATATAAAATTTCAATTCAATTTTTGATTATTAGATGTGGTATCGTTTCCGCCCTAAGAAAAGAGCATGCATATGATTTGTGGTTTGTTGAGAGAATATGAAAGTTCCATAGTAAAGCTGCTTTCAGCTTAAAACAAGGTAGCCGCCTGAGGTTTCTTCCTTGAACTGTTTTAGACCCTTGAATTGTGAACACTTGAAATGGTTTCTTTCTTGATTGACAAAGATTTAATTGAATTATTTGTATTGCACCCTCCAAAAAGAAGTTTTTAATTTCTATAATTCTATTTGATTGATGTGACTTGCTTAATTACAAGAACTGCAAGACAAATGCATCCCCCAGTTTTTCTATGCACAGCTTATTTAAGAACAGGCTTGTCAATTTCATGCAACTTTGTCTGTGAACACTGGATTAGACCCTTAATATCATACTTACAAGTTTAGCATAATTCAGCCTCAAGTTAAAAAATAATTATTCATTCAAATCATGCACAATATTGTTTTTAGCTACATAACGAAATTTTATAAAATTTACAATTCAATCTTAATATAATCTCAAACTCTTAACAATAAGTAGATTTAATAATTTATATCGTATAAAATATTAAAATTTATATATTTATATTATATTCGTATAATATCATTATATCATATTTTAAATTATTAAATTTATTTATAAATCGAATTTGTGAACAAATTTAATTTTATAAATGCATAAATTTTAATTAAATGTAAAAAATAACACAAAGCCTTTTTTTTCATAAATATTTTAGCTTTTGGTTCAATAGTAAATTAATTAACATTTCTTTGATTTAAAGTGAAATTAAAATTAAAAAAAGACAGACCCTTCATTACAACGAAGAATTGTGGATGCAAAACGTAAAGAACTTGCGAGTGCAGTGGTGGTTGATGAATAACCACCCAACATAACATAATAGCAATTGTCAGAAGCATTGATGCCATGATTAAAAAGTAGTACTGTCAATTGCCTTTCCTTTTCCTTGCTTTTTATCCCACACTTTTTCCACAATCTAAGTTGTACGATATTAATCTTATCCTCCCTTATAGGGTTCCACCATTGTAAGATTAGAAAGTAATAGCTGACATGACAAATAAAATTTTTTTATAAAATTTAAAATAAAACTTAATTAGTTCGTACAATTAATAATTGGTATAAATTTCAAAATTTTATAATTATAATTTTTTTATTTTTAAGTTGTGATTTTTTTATTAAGAAATAATTTTTTATATTGTTTTCTAACTTCACCTCAAATTTAAAATTTACTACCGTCAAACACTAAAAAAGAAACACTTTACTCTCTTTTACCATTACCTTACCGTAAATTTCAATTGTCAATGAACATAGTCTTTATTCAAGTTGACAGCATTTTCTCATTTACCTCAATGGGCATTTGCTAAGAAGCAACCTTAAGTTATTTTGTCAATTATATGATCCATACTTCAAGTTTAAAGATTGAATTTTTAAGCAAATCTTTACTGATTGAATTTTTACTTGATATATTTGCTTGCACCATTGGTAAATCATATTTGGGTTCAAATTTCTCCGTTCCCTATATAAAAAAAAAATTTTCATATTTGTTATATTTTAATACGAAACTACACAAATTTAAATACAATACAAATTTAATAATAATTCAGCAATAATAATATACACTAAATTACAAAATTTCGACTCAACAAAATTAAATTTATAATTCATTTGAATCAAAATAATATTTTTAAATTTAATAATTTTGATCCAATAATAAATAAAAGTTACACTAACATAAAACGCTTCCTATTTATATATATATACACTTGAACTTTTCCAATCTCTTCTTTGTCATCTCCTTAATCAACAACATAATCAAAGCGTTTAAAAAACTTAAAAATTACCTACTAATCACTCAAATAAATAATAATTAATATCTATCAAACTCAATTTTGAAATTATAGCTGTTAGCCCTTCCAACTCGAGTGACTCAGTTGAGTCAACCCAGAAGTATTAGTACTTCTATGGTGGGTTGCTTAAAGCTTTTAGTAGACGGATCGGCAACGGGCAACGCCATGAAGCAACGGTCGAGATTCGCTGAAAAACCCTAGTTTATTCTTCATGCAGACGTGGCAGCATCCCTGAAGATCTTTGAAAGTAGAGAAACGGCCCGACTTTGATGATGAGTCAGATCGGGACACAACTCGAAGAATTTCTTCGAAGAGCGACTCATCGCATGGGATGGTTAAGGGTCCTACGTTGTTGAAACCGTACTCTTCTTCGGTTTGTGCAAGGAGTTTTTTGAAGATTGGGTGGTTAAGGTACGTCGCGCATACGATGTATCTCCTCAGACTGGTTCCCACGCATACCGCCACGTGTCCAGCAGGAACATCAGATGGCGCGTGTCCGTTATTCTTCTTGTTGTTGCCGTTGCTGGCCGTTATGCGGGCCTTCCTTCGCCACTGCTTGAGCATTTGTCGGATTCGAACAATATGACGAATTTTCTGGCACTTTCCCATCGCATGAGATTTTTTCCCAAGAAATTGACAGAAAAAAATAGCAAGAAATGTTAGTCGGCGACGATAATATTTTCCGAGAAAGTGAGAGAAAAAGTGAACAAGTGGGAGCGATTTAGTGGAGTGAGAATTTTTTGTGTTGAATTAAGGGGCGGAGGCAAGTATAATAAGGTCAATGACTAAAGAAATTGCCCTTTGGCTTTGGGATAATTACGAGATTGTGTCGTTGTTTCATACTTCCGGCGGTGTCATAGCTATTGAGCCTATATAATGAGGATGAATTTGAGTTTTGATTCAAAAATTATTGCTAAAAATTTAATTCGGTTCAATCAAATTTTAAATTTATTTAAAATAAAAATTAAATTATTTAAATTTATTTGATTAAATTCATTTATAATAAATAAATTCGATTTTCATATTTAATTTTAAACTTAATTATATGTTTGATTTTGAATTTGAATTTGAGTTAAAATTATTATTACTATATATATATAATAAAATAATAAAATTAATTAAAATAATAAAATATATTAAAATTTAATAACTCAAATTATTTAAATCAAATATTAAAATACTTAAACTTAACTTACTTAATAAATTAAACTGTTTAAATTTAATATTAAACTTGACTTAATAATGATTAAATCAAATTTAAATTTTATCTAATCTAAATTTGAATAGATATGACATATACACTCGTTATCATAATCATGTGATCTCCATAAGTAAGGTAACGAGACTAGGTAGTTTTAATGCATACTTTAATTCGTTGGATTTTTATTTATTTAGTATTTAACTTTATATTTTAAGTTTACTTAGCTTTCTTAGTTTCTTGATAAGTAGGCAATTTATATATGATAATAGAATTTTTATAAATTGGATTAAAAAAATGGGAAAAGTGTGAAAACAAGTCACACTTGCTTACTTAGAATAAAGTAAATATATTAAGCACATGATTGATCTTTGTATTTTGAATTATTTTCTTTTAAAAGTAGGAGTTTCACTTCCTTTTTTCCTCTTCAAATGTTGGAAGGAAAACAAAAATAAAAATATCAATTATCTGTAATTTATTTATAAAATTTTAATTTTAATGATCAAAATTTAATTTTTAACAATTTCAAATATAAAAAAATAAAAATTAAATTTTAATCAAAGAACCCACTATATATAATTTAGGGAAAAGCATCATCATCTATGCAATAAATAACTAGATATTAGGTATGGAGCCATTGCTTTTTCTTTATTGCTCATGATTTGATTATATTCTGTTTGTGATTGAAATGCAAAACACCTATATCACCTACAAAACTCCTTGACTGACATCGACTTGCATGCCTTGCCTGCTCAACCTCTTTCATGTTCAAAAGACATTTATACAGATAATCCATTTCAGTTCCAAAATAAGAAACAACATGCAAGTGTCACAGATTTAAGAAAAAATTTTGAATCTCACATCAAACATAATAAAAAAGTCATTGAGATATAAAAAAGTTCACATCACCTCTTTCTTGTGAAGTATTTTTTGTAGGATAAATCCGTAAGGTCAAGGCGATCAAAGCGGATAATACCTTACAAGGGTGTGAACCGTGACGGTTATGCTGATATGAAACGTCGGATGAGTGGATACTCGAGTCCTGGAGCCGCGCGAGTCAGAGCTTAAGTCTCGACCCGTAACAAGTGATATCAGAGTTAATCATATACCATTCGATCTACGCCAAGCGTCTTGAAGGAGGTAGTTAAAACGGATAATACCTCACAAGGGTGTGAACCGTGACGGTTAAACTGATTTGAGATACCGGATGAGTGGATGCCCGAATCCTAAAACTGCACGAATCGAAGTTTAAGTCTTGATCCGTGACACAAATACATGCTAGGTAATTATTTTTCAAAACAACTATAATTAATTTATGTTAAAAGTATCAGTTTTTAGTCCAGGTTTTTGGTGCTCTCTCTATTACTTTTTCAAATCATTCAATTCAAGAAGTGGTATTTATGAAATATGAATTATGGGCAGCAACATTGCTGATCATGCCTCTCAATTTTTATCATTGCTCATCAATGCTCAACTAACAAAAAAAATTTGCTGTTTTATGCTTTGTTTTCTACTCCCGTGATCTCGTCTCCCCAGTATGTTTTCTTTAACACAGTAATCCTGATTAAAATAACAAATAATGCATGATTTAGGGAATATATGCATTGCTGCTGGGGGCCATGTTTAATTCAAAGTGCTGATTGGAAGGATAATTTAGGGACATTCACTCAAGTTTTAAGCCTAATCCTTTGGTAGTAGAAGAGGAAGTGATCGATGTTTGCTGTAGAATTTTATATTAAACTGAAACCTTGGATAACTAATACAATCTGGTTAGAGGCACAAAAAAAAAACCAGTGCAGAAACCTGACAGGAAGATTATGAGCTGAAGAAAAGGCCGGTTTTTGAGATTTTGTCATAAATATTTCATCCAACTAGGGAAGGAGAGATCGATCATTGAGAGGGAAGACAGGGATGAAGAAATTTGTAAGTTACAAGAATGGCTCCACTAGCCATTCTTATACATTAATCCCACTTTCCATGAAGCAATCAAGTCAAGTAATTTATCAGCTAAAGTTGTTGTTATTAAGTTTATAGCTTTCATAATTAGCTTAGTAGTGGATTCTCCTCTACCTTGTCTCCTAATCTGTATCGTTCTTTATGCCTCTTTAAAGTACTAAGTTCCATATAAATTATCATACCACCTGTTTAAATTCGTGGAAACCATAGTCTTTCGTTTTCAGGCCCCATCATTCAGTAAAAGTTAAACAACTTTGAAGATCAGGACCCTGGATCTTTCATTATGGAGTACTCAACTTGACAGAAGGAAACATAAGAAAGCGTGCTAGCTGTCATTATTACAAGGCATAAAATATGCGGTTTACTAATTATGTTTGGTTGAATGCAATATTTACTGAAAATCACATTGGATTCTTTCGCTGTTTTGTTAGAAATAATAACTCAAATCACATAAGAGATTTATTTGAAATTTGTTAGAGATTTATTTAAAATTTATTAAATATTATTTAATGAACAAAAAAACTTATAAAAGAAGAATTTTAAGAAAAAAAATATTTTTAATAAGTAAGTTTAACTTAAAAAAAAATTATAAGAGGAAAAAAAAGAATTCTAAGAATAAAGAGATTCTTAATACGTAAGTTTGACTTGCAAGAAAAGAATTCTAAGTGAAAAAAAAATTTTAATAGACAAGTTTATATGATTATAAATATGTGAAGTCTCTACAGGAGGGTTAGGTACGAGAAAAATATGTAAGAGAGTTATAGGTTTTATAAGATAGATACCCCATAAGACTTTTAGAGATTTACGTCTTACGGGTATGTATATTTGTACGATGCATGAGAGTGAACTAAAAGAGACTGAGAGAGTCCACATATGTATGATGAATGGATATATATGAGTATGTGTTTGTTTATGTTGAAAGAAGACTGAAAGGATTCACATAGGTATAATGAATGGATATATATGGATATGTGTTTATTTGTGTTGAAATGGTGCATAAGGGTTTGTGTTTGTTTGAGTTAAAAATATTTCATAAGACTAAAAGAGATTGAGAAAGTTTATGGGTATTAATTGTTGAGTGGTTGATATATTTTGATGTATGTTTGTAATTTTCTATAACTAGTAAATCTTATTTCTCATCCGTGGATGTAAGTCGATTTGATCGAATTAAGTTAAATTATTATCTCTTATATGATTAATTAATTGTTTGATTTTACTTTCGCTGATATGATTAAATTAAAGCATTTAACATAACAAGTAACAAGTGATACGAGAGCTATGATGATCTCCAACAAGTTTCCCTTGTTTTTGGTTTGGTTTGAAAGTTTTCTTTGTTCATGGATGCCAAAGTAGATATGATCGTCGAGAGGCTTTCTCCTTATCTCCCCCAAATCACTTTGTTTTTTTTTTTTTTTTCCTTTTTTTCTTTTTCATCTTCCTTCCTTCTTTTGCTTTATGGGTTAGTCACTTGTCTTGTTCCTATACCAGATATGGCTGTTGGTGGGAAGCTTCAAAGGTGGCAGCGACAAGGTTTGGTCGCTGACCCAAGAGCCAATCCTTTAATCGAACTAGATTTGGTTGCAATGGTGCATTCAAGTCGCACTTCAATGATCGGAATATACCTTGAATGGCTATTGGAATAGCCAGTCATTCTTTTAAAGGACTGCAGCCTCCCAGGACGGTGGGATGACAATGATAAATGTTCTTTTAAATAAGCAAATTTGATGCCTGAATTTCCAGTGAAGGAGAAGGCCGATGGATGTCAAGTGCTGATGAATAAATCTTCAAATCTCCTGCACAAAAAGCTTTTTAACGCCCGTTACTTCACTTGTTACTCCATATAACATAAAAGATTGACGATGTTCAATCAAAGACAGGCTCGTCTTATACAGTTTACATCATATCTCAAAGAAATATATATCGCGTAGCACGAAACATCGTATCTATATGACTACTTGTTCTTTGAGTGACCATTATTTGAGAACATCAGACAGTCACAGTGAAACAACTTGAACACCTAAATATCTCTGTAATTCGAGTGACATGCATCATTGTGACTAGGAGCAAATCATCAGCATGTCATAGCACTCATAATTTATCCTAATCAATAAAGATAAGTTTTTACAGATAATGTGCTGCTGAGTGTTTACAGATAATGTTTTGCTAAATCAAAGCTTAGCAGCTTCCTTTACTTTATGTGTTTCCACCGAATCAAACCGACCAATGAAAATCATATGCACTTATTCTAACAGTATTTTTTTTAAATTAAAAATGAAAAAAAGAAAAGGAAAAATGAGTAAAGTACATCTTGATGCTAAAGGCTAGACTGACTACTTGCAAGCAGATCTCATTGCTTTTAGCTCTTCAACCAGTTTCTCAAGCCTGCTAATCTGAGCTTCTAGTGATAATCCAGCTATGTCAACCGCATAGCAATTGCAGTCTCCTTCAACACCATTGATGCGTAGCATTTTGTAGGTTGGCCGTTCCGGATTGTCCTCATTTGCACCTTTCACTGTTCTTTCTGATTCTCCCATCACAACTTCCTCCTGCACCATCTGTAGTTCTCTCTGATTCTTATAGGCACCCTCAAAAGTTCCCCCTACTCCTTTCAGCACAGATTCATCCTGCATAGCCTTTTCTGCTAATATTGCTAATGGCTCCAAACATTTAACAACCTCATCATCTGCAATTGTTGATGAAAGACTTTGAGAATGGCCTGACGGGTTTCCATCCTCATCACAATCTTTAGTTCCAATATTGCCACGCTTCTTGCAAGATCTTATCATTTCTGCAATTGTTAGATTATTATCCTCAGTAGAATCCTCTGCTTCCTTCTCACTAAAGTTGGGTGTGAAACCAATAAGAACACTGGAACTGCTTGCCTTCTTTTTTTTGCCAGTCCTTGGTGATTTTTTTGTATTCACTGAACGTAAAGCATGAGAGGCAGAATTGCTGCTATCTTCCTCCATGTCTTTCACAACATGTGCCCATTTTTTAGAGCTTATAAGACCGAGTCTAGAAGAGGCAGACACAGGAGTATCTTTCTTCATTCCTTTAGAATTCTCTGCTGATTTTTTCAAACGTTTTTTACTGCAACCAGCAGAAGCAGACTTGTCATCATCTTTCCCCTTTCTTTTCAAAGTTTGTGCTGATTCTTTTGAGATTCCTAAAGGAAAACTAGGCGAAGAAGATTCTTCCTTTCCTTTCTTTTTTCCTTTCAGATTCTCGGCTGATTTCTTTGAGTTCCTTCCAGAAGAACCAGAATAAGTAGAGTTGTTGTTGCCCACCAGCTTTTCTTCCAAAATCTGGGATACACTCTTTGATTTCTTAAGAGGGAAACAAGAAAGGGAACCACTACCATTACTAGTCCTGTTGACACTATCTCCTTGTTTCTTTGAGCTCTTCATAGAACAATTAGGAGAAACAGATGGATCATTAGTTTCTGTCTTCCCACGGAAACTCTCTATTTTCTGATGAAAGCCAGGGCAACCAGAGGAACTTTTTCCTTGTCTCTTTCCTTTTGCATTCTTTACTGATTTCTTCAATCCCTTAGTGGTGCCTTCATTCTCCAGCACTGACTGCTTCCACCACTTCATGTATTGGGCGGAAACACCAGCTTTATAGAGCCGAGATGGAATGTATAATTTGACACCAGTGAGTGATTCACAGTAATTGAGCCAGGCAATTTCAGGAGTCTCATTTGATCGAGGAACATGACCTGGAATATCCTGATCTATTCCAAATTGCATTGCAACTCGATGTGGAAGGTACTGTTCTACACAGTCAAGTCCCACTAGCTCACTGGTCTTCAAGCATCGAGCAAAGGACTCTAATTCTTTGTCAAGACGTGCAGTGATCGATATACAAACGTCATTCTCTCTATAGAACTTAGGTTGTTTCCAGTTTTCAATCTGAGTAGCATAAGGGCGCCATTCAAAACTTCCACTAGCAGCCTCTAGAGCTGACCTCACATTCTCAACCTTGCAACTAACATCATGCCATTGAACCAGCCTTGGCTCACCCTTTGGTATCAAATTTGGTTTTGGTCTTAGCTCTAAAAATCTCTCCCAAGCCCAAACCTGAACTAATTGAAATGGTGACCAAATGGTAAGAGTGAACACCTCTTCTTTCCCAAATTTAGTTGAAGCAGTAATTGCATCTTTCAACAAACACAAATCTCTATAAATACTAGCAAGTACAGCAGGTGCTAACGCAAGTCTTCTCCCTCTAGCTAAATGAATTGCAATAGAGAAGACATGTTCCCTAATCGTTTCATGTGCATTGGTAAAAACATACCTTGAAAGCCAAAAGGCAAGAAATGCTTCATGCTCAAATTCACTGCCAGTGTCCATGAATTTCTGCATCCACAAACGAGGGCAAGCCTTTTTAGCTTTGCTTCGCACAATTTCAATTCTTGCACTCTTTAAACTCTCTTCTACTTGCTTCAACTCTTCAGTTTCGAGTGGGGTAAAAACAGGGGAACCCAGAACAGAGAAACCCCCTAGAATCATGACATCTTCCAGTGTAACACTAACTTCACCCCAAGAAAAGATGAAACTTTTGGTCTCACAACACCATTTCTCAGCTAAACCAAAAACCAAATCATTGTTTCTCTTGATCTGGTAAGTTGAATTCATGATGGCTTCATGAATACCAGCTTTCTGCCAGGTTGATTCATGTAAAGCAGCCATCTTCTTGATCCATGTGGGCCAATTCTTAGTCCTGCATCTCCACCCATGAAAACTGATACTCAAAGGCAGATTCTTGGGTTGAAAAGAAGGCTTTTCCAGAGAAGAAAAACATTGAGAAGGAAGCTTGGGAAGTGGGTTATCGAGGGAACTGAAAATGGGTTTGAGAAAATGGGCTGTTCTCGAACAAGGGTTTTGGTTTTGGCCATTTGGTGAAACCATGAGCTCTTCTCTTTCTTCAACCATGCTTGTTTCTGGTTCCTCCATGGGTGAGTTTAGATCGAGAATTTGGGTGAAAATGGCGTATTTTAGGTGTTAGATAGATTTGGGTTGCAGCGTCACGAGATCAACTCATATCAACGACTCGAACTTCGGTTTCAATGGGAAGCTCTCGAAAAGGCGTTAGTTTTGAGATTTTTGAGCTGGAAGGGTGTTTTGGAGAAATGACGCTTGAAATTCATGGGTATTTCAGTCAAATCATGATAAGACCGAAGAAAAGAAATACCCGTCGTTTACGTAATCAACGTTTCCACGGGATTACCCTTTCTTTCTCGAAGAAATTTCCAATTTTCACTTTCTTCTTCAACTTTTTCGGTTTTCAGCTGGATTATGATTTTTGAAGCATTAAAAGAGAGAAAATTTGATAAACATTAAAATATAATTTTTTTAAATCTTCAAACTATCTCAAAAATTTTATGCCATGATGATATAAAACATATTTTTATGTGACTTAAAAGTTAAAACTACATGAATCTATCCAAAATTTATATTGCTTTATTTGTTTATTAAATTTGATAATTCTTGCTTACGTAATATGTTTGCATTATAACGAATTAGTATAAATCACAAAAATTTATCATATTAAATTTATATCAATACACCAAATACATGGCACAAGAATGGAGCAAGAGTCGTAGAGTTAAGGCAATGGTCTAATTCTAAGTCTCACAAGAATCTGCGGGTTCAAACCAGATTTTGAGAGATCAGGTGCAATTATCTGCTAGAAATGTAAATACAAGCCAAAAAGGTCTTGTAAGTGTAGTTAAGACCATCATTTAGTACCATTAAGATTTGCGTATCTCACCGAATAACAGATGCTTTGTATCCCAAATAATAATAATAATACTAACAATTGAATAATCAGGATTATTCAAGATAATCTCAATACTTTGATTACTATGCTTCATTGAAATGGCCGGTGAGGGATCAGTTCCAAGATGGCATGATGACACGATGGGAAACCCTTCTCAACTGCTATCCAAATGGCATAAGTCCATTTTGTAGGTGTTAGTACTTAATAGCATGATTCAAGTAGGAACTAATGCAGGATGAAGACTATGTTAAGATTTATAGCACAAATTCTAAAAGATGCACCAAATTTTTGGCGCCAAAAAGTGACTGAATTATTACTTTGAATGGGGAGAATGCAATCAAATCCAGCAGCTTGCATGTTAACTCCAGAAAAGAAACTAAACATCCATGGTGCCATTGCCAACTGAAAAAATAAATAATGCTTGAAGGGCCGAGTTGATAACTCTCAAAAATTTTTTAAAGATGGTTCGTCGTGGTCCACAAAAGCTGCAGGCCAAAGTCAAAAACTGGTACCTTCCCAGTGATATGCATTATTCCTACACCAAACTTACACACACGTGCAACCGACTATGAACAAAACGCCTCTGCTTCAGTGGTGAGACTTTGCTTCAGCTTTCTTTTGAGACTTTGCCGTTGCCTGAGAATAAAAATAAAGCAATTAGTAAGCATTTGTTTTCGATGTTTGTCTTGACGACTCATCTATACAACAAAGGCAGAATATTATTCCCAAAATATCTCAGAGAGAAAAAAACAGGAATCCCACATTCATGAAACACATTTTTATGTGCTACCCCCTCAGGACAATAACAGTTCAATTCTAACTCAGAATTGCAGGTTTTGGCAAAAACTATGGATAGGTGGCACAAGCCAACACCTATTGCCAAAGTGAAATGTCCAAACTCCATATGACATCAAAAGTAGAAATGCATTTTAATGTAAATCAAGTTGTAAAACAAACTTTTGTTATTGTTAGAAGCCTAGTGCATTAGATGCTAAAATTTTACTACATTCCTAAGATTATATTTTCAAAACTCTATCTACAATGTTTCGAAATCCTCTCAAATTATTTACGCCAATCAAGATGTGTTGGTGGATGTAAGATCGATCAGAAGATCAGACTTCCTCTTTGCGAAAGAAGAGTGTGTAACCCACAAAAAAGTTTACTATTAGACCTATCGATTCGTGTATTTGTGTCGTGTAAAAAACTAAAATTCATATATTCATATCGTGTTTTACACCAAAATTACGTGTCACAATTCGTGTTAACACGAAAATATAAAATATATTTTTTCGGTTTTGTTATATTCATATATAGTTATTGCTAAAATTTTAAACCGTGTAATCTTTCGTGTCCTATTTTGGTATCGTGTTCATGTTGTGTCACTATATTATGTTTGAAATTGCCGTATCTATTTACTCTTGTACTTCCAAAACAACAAAAGCAAGCAACTGTTCCTAACATCTCATCCTAACAATCTGATCATGGCAATACCATGAGATTATCATTTTAATAATAACCCCGAAAACTAAAAACAAATCAAAAAAAAAAAAAAAAAACAACAATGCCTCTTATCAGCTAAAATGACTAGCACCCATTTCCCTACGAGGAAGAACCATATCAAAATTACCTGTTTCCATCAAATATACATCCATTTGCGGCAACATGACATGAATTCCGAATACATTCTTAAGAAGGATAAATCTGAAATAAAAAGCAATAAATGAAAGTACCTTAAGGTACTTGAGCTTAACGCTCCCATAAACGAGTCCAAAAGAGAAAGCGGATGCACGAGCCACCTATTACAGAAAAAATAACTTAACAATTAAACCAAAAGAAGAACTGATTTTAGATTTTTTTTTTTTTTGGCAAAGAAGGAAAATGAGATCAATTATTTATATTTTTTTTCTTTTTTGTTTTACTGAATTTGATTGGAACCCAAGAAAAAGAGGGAAAAGAAATTACGAGAGCGAGAGTGCTGGTGCCGGAGTAAGGTCCAGGAGGCGGCGCCATCGCTTTGCTTTGTTTTTGCTTCTTTGTTTGGGAATTGACGGAAGATAGAGCAAATTCTAGCCCTAGAAATTTTATTGGATAAATTTTTTTCAGTCTTGGGGTTTAAACGGAGTGCGGTTCTGCCCATTTTTATGTTCGTGGAGCATAGCTCGTTTTTCTGACCCGAAATGGAAAATGGGCCTTTTATGGTTAACCGACACCTTTTATGGGCTGCTATTGGATAGTTGGACTTGAGCCTTACATATTTAAGCCCATATTTCTTTTAACCTGTGGACTTGCCTGCATTAGTGTCATTTTTTTTTTTCCTTTCTTAGACCTACATTTGTCTGCCCTCTAACTTTTTTTTTTAAAAAGAAAACCTAAATTATGTTAAGAGAGGTGCTAAAGCACCCTAACTTTTTCTTTTCACATTTTATTATTTTTTTTTATAAGTGAAATGATTTAATTTTTTTCCTTTCAAATAATTTTTTAAAAATAAATTTTTGAAAAATCATAAACTTTTTGAAAATGAATTTTTAAAAAATTATATAATTTTTTAAAAATAAAATTTTAAAATATCATAAAATTTTTCGAAAATAAACTTTTAAAAGGTTAAATAATTTTTTAAAAATTCATTTTTAGGAGATGATAGAGAAATTTTAATAAACATTTTTAGTAAAAGTTTTATTATCTCACCTTTTTTAATCAAATTTTCAAAAAATCATATAATTTTTTAAAATTTTATTTTCAAAATTTTATTTTTAAAAAATTATATGATTTTTTAAAAATCCGTTTCTAAAAAGTTATAAAGTTCAAAACAATTATAAAAAATAATTAAATAATTTTATTCATAAAAAATTAAAAAAATTAAAGTGTAATATATATATATATATATATATATATATATACATATATATATATAGGGGAATATCCACTATTGTCCTCTAGTTCGTACATTATTTAGCCACTAGTCTTTGGCCGGTGGGAAGTCAACACTCACTTTCAAAGGAAAAAGAGTAGTTTTGTTTTGATCCCCTGTTTTGGGATGTGATTTTATTGGTTGCCTTTCAATGTTTTTCTTTTTTGGTTACCTACGTAAGCCATTTCCAAAGTTAGCCAAAATGCTTTCAATTCCTTTAACGATACGAAGATTTAGGTTTCCTAAAATATTTTCATTTCCTTTTATGATACGAAGGTTAGGTTTCCTTGTGAAATCTCGTGTCAATTAAACCATTGTTCAAAATGGAAAAATTCGTTAGCATTGCCAAAATTAAAAATACCATATTTCTCACTTCATTTAATATGAAAGACGTTTGCTTTGAATACTGACACAACGGTCAAAGAGTCCAATAAGGCTACTTGGTATAGTCGCGTCGGATGGTGTGTCCTCCACGAACAAATGCACTTGGCTATTAAAACAAAAACCAACCTTCATAAGACCATTTTCCTACTACATTTGGACTGCCTCCGCCCTTAATTTTAAATCACTCTTTAAATTAGAATTATATTTAATAATTCATATATTTATATCATATACAATATTAAAATTTTTATATTTATTTTATATTTTAGATATCATAATTTATATTAATATAAAATTTTAAAATATATTTTTTAATTTTATTAAATTTATATATTATTATTATTAAAATTTTAAATTAAATTATTTTTATATTATATTTATATTATGTTATTGTATTATATTTTAAATTATTAAAGTTGACCATCAACTTTTAAAGTTGAACTTTAATCACACTATTAACTCTTTAAATTTGACTAATTGCTGGAGAATCTCTTGGTGACAAAGGCTTTGATTCTCCTAAAGTCCAGAAACCTAGAAAGAGAGCCCACTTTAAAAGCCATCTTCCTAAGCTCTTTCACTTCTCCCTGTCCTCCAGGGCAACTCCCAAAACTGAACAGAAACCAGCCATGGCAGCCTCTGCCAATCTTTCTCCTTTGTCTTCTTCATCAGCTCTCTCAAAACCCATCTCCAAAAGACCTTATTTTTTTCTTACCACACCTCAAAAAAACACCTTTTCTCACTTTTCAAAAACCCTGCCAAAACCCTCTTGTTTCCCTTGCAAACGTGTTTTTCATACCCAGAAACCTCAGTTTTCCATTTCCTCAAAAAACCCCATCTCTGAGTTCTTTTCAACTAGCCAAAGTGATCCAGAAGACGATTTTGTCTCTTCTTCTGGTGTTGGTGACGATAAGCCGCGTGAAGAGTGTGGTGTTGTGGGTATCTTTGGCGACCCTGAGGCCTCACGTCTCTGCTACTTGGCCCTCCACGCGCTTCAGCATCGTGGACAAGAAGGTGCAGGTATTGTAGCAGTGAATAACAATGTTCTTCAATCAGTTACTGGGGTTGGTTTAGTATCTGAAGTGTTTAATGAGTCTAAGCTTGACGAATTGCCTGGTGAAATGGCAATTGGACATGTTAGATATTCAACTGCTGGTTCCTCTATGTTAAAAAATGTGCAGCCTTTTGTTGCTGGATACAGGTTTGGATCTGTTGGGGTTGCACACAATGGAAACTTGGTAAACTACAGAGCTTTGAGAGCTATGCTTGAAGATAATGGTTCAATTTTTAACACTACTTCTGATACTGAGGTTGTGCTTCATTTGATTGCTATTTCAAAGGCTAGGCCTTTCTTTTTGAGGATTGTTGATGCTTGCGAGAAGCTTGAAGGGGCTTATTCAATGGTGTTTGTGACTGAGGATAAGCTTGTTGCGGTGCGTGACCCCTTTGGATTTAGGCCTTTGGTAATGGGAAGGAGGAGAAATGGTGCTGTTGTGTTTGCCTCTGAGACTTGTGCTCTTGATTTGATTGAGGCTACATATGAGAGAGAGGTTTATCCTGGTGAAGTTTTGGTAGTGGATAAAAAAGACGGGGTTCAATCACTCTGCTTGATACCCCACCCTGTACCAAAACAATGTATTTTTGAGCATATCTATTTTGCTCTGCCTAATTCTGTTGTTTTCGGAAGGTCTGTTTATGAGTCACGATATGCTTTTGGCGAAATACTTGCTACTGAGGCTCCTGTTGATTGTGATGTGGTGATTGCAGTGCCAGATTCTGGGGTGGTGGCTGCTCTTGGTTATGCAGCCAAAGCAGGGGTGGCATTTCAGCAAGGACTGATCAGGTCTCACTATGTTGGAAGAACTTTTATTGAACCTTCACAGAAGATTAGGGACTTTGGTGTGAAGCTTAAGCTTTCACCTGTTCGTGGTGTATTGGAAGGTAAGAGGGTTGTGGTCGTGGATGACTCAATTGTGAGAGGAACCACATCTTCAAAAATTGTTAGGTTGATCAAGGAGGCAGGGGCTAAGGAGGTTCACATGAGGATTGCCAGCCCACCAATTATTGGATCTTGTTATTATGGAGTGGACACACCAAGCTCTGAGGAGTTGATATCTAATAGAATGAGTGTGGAGGAGATTAGAGAGTTTATTGGATGTGATTCACTTGCTTTTCTGCCTTTTGATAGCCTGAAGGAGATGTTGGGTAGCGATTCTCCAAATTTTTGTTATGCTTGCTTCTCAGGGAAGTACCCAGTTATGCCAAGGGAGGTTAAAGTGAAACGGGTTGGTGATTTCTTGGATGATGGATTGAATGGACCTTTTGATTCCATTGATGGAGGTTGGGTTAAAGGCCCACAGAATTTCAACATTGAGAAACAAATTGATCCCCTGTATCAACCGAGCAAGATTTAGCTGTTTCAAGCATATGTGTGGTGAGTGATAGATATCTTGGGTGATATGAACACAGCCTTTACATTCTTCGTTGAATAAGCTAGGGTTATACAATCTAAAGCTTATGCAATTTTGTCCCATTTTTTTCTTCTGCAAACTAATCTCTTTAATGTATGGGTTTGTTTTCTTTGCTAATAAAAAATGGGCTATCAAATGAACTTTTGATTGATGTCATATTATACATGGATTTTGTTGTATCTGACCTCTCTTATTGATAGTTTTTTCCTTCAGTATTTCAATAACAAAAATATATCGGGCCGCATCTTTCTTTAGTGTATAATTCTTTGATCTATCATACTTTACATAGGCTTTAGGGTTAAAATTTCTGCAATCTATGAATAAAAGAAGTCAAGTATATGGTTAAATGAACATGTGACAATCCATAAACCCTTGTGAACTTTTTGAACTCCAGTGCCTATGTACAAGATAGTGATCCATATTGGCTGGCCAAGTTGAAGATTGGAGATAAGTTTTTCCAAAGCTATAATGTTTTCTAGAGAGATTAATGAAGATGTTTGATCAACTGAAATTTTCCTTTATATTGTACTTTGTGCTATGAGCTTCTGTTTTTATTGAAACTAGAGATGCAATGACAACAATTTCCGATGGAACGGGAGGAGTGTTCTGAATCTTGATTATGGTATTCTATAGTGTTCTGAATCTTGATTATGGTATTCTATAGTTGTCTCAAAATTTCTTCATTTTCCTTTAATGCACCAATCTATTGCATTCTGCTTCTGGAAGTCGTTTGCAGGTACTCAAATTTATGCTCTCTGGAGGCTTGAGCATTAATATTTCCTGCGTTGTTGCTTCATGCATCAAATGGTTTGAAATCTGAATAACTTTGGGTATCCCATCCTCTTTGAATGGTTAATTCTTGGCATTATGAAACAAAAAACTTCATGAGTTTATGCATTTGTGAACAGTGCAAACTATAGAGAATCTGAGGTCAGATTCGGTGTTTTACGTGAAAAGGTTGGCTCTGTCTTAAGATCACAAACTCGAATCATTTTGCCACATGCAGAGCCTGGTTGTATACATCCTAAGCAGATGTATTGTTTCTTAAATTGCAAGGCAGGATAGATTTGTGATATCTTATATGGTTTCTTTTCTCAGATTTTTAATGATGGTTGTATCAATTATATCAGTTGGTTCTCCAACGATCTCGAACCATATACAGTGCTCCTGTTTATGAGAGGAATCAAGAAGAATAAATAAATAACTGGTTGCTTTGTCTTAGATTATATTAACAGGCTGAGCTTTGAGTAGCATAGACTGATAAGAACCTTATTATAGTTTTCTAGTTTCATACTGTTACTGTGATAGCCTTATGTCGATCATGTAGTTTTATTCCGAAAGAGGAAGACATGCAGTATTAATTGGGATCTCAATGAATATCTTATCCTTTATATGGCATGGTGCAAGGGTCAAGCCTTTGAAAGGTTTCTTCTTTTACTTTAAATGTTAGGTGAGATGGATGATGGTTATATCAATGCATGCTGTATGCTAATTTGGTCAAGTACTGATGGAATTTCGTCTCATTTTCAACTATTTTGTGTTATCATAGCTTGCTTTCCAAACACATGGCGATTCACTGACTAAAATCTGCCTGATTTTAGATGCAAAGAATATAATTGGATGGTTAATGATTTTGCTCATATAGGTAGGCTCTTTCATCTTTATCATGTCTTTGCTTGTCATTTGTGCCCTGATCAATTTGCAGCGCCGTGACTTTTGTTCTGAGTTGGAAATTGAATACCATGGCAAGCGAGTACTTATTCAGTGAACTGGACAACGGTCATGATACGCTTTAAAATCTGGCTTTATTTTCTGATATAACCTGCAGATGAACTAATTTGCAGGTCAATGGAGTAGCTTTTTTATAACCATAATGGAATCTCCATCTCCATAAACTGGAAAAAAAAAATAGCCAAAACAAGATAGATGTCAGAAGTGGGATTTGAACCCACGCCCTCTATCGAGGACCAGAACTTGAGTCTGGCGCCTTAGACCACTCGGCCATCCTGACGAGCTGATGTATTTCATAATATATTATTAATAAACAATGTAGTGTTCAGTGCCCTAACATAACACCCTGATCCAATCCGTTCGTGGTGTATCTGATTAATGAATCATCAAACACCAAAGCCGACTTTTTAAGGCGGTTAGTAATTCACCACCCCCCCCCAACCCAACATCTTTTGTGTAATACCAGACTACAAGGAGTTTGGACACGAAACAAAGCTTGGTTTACTTCATTTGGTGTAATATTGAGCTTTAGTAACCAGAAATTGAATGCTATCCAAGATGGAACAAACCGGACAATCCAACGGGCAAACAGTTAAAAATGGAATACCCAACTCCTTAACTGGAATGAATCAAAAGACAGAAGAGTTTTTAAGTCTTAACTCTTCCAATGTTAATGCAACAAATCATGTCAAACTTGATGTTTACATTCCAATATAATTATCTACCATAAATAAATAAATAAAAGCTAGGACCATAAACGATATATAATTATTCAAGCTGTATATTACTTCATTCCATGATCCGAGATGGATATCTGATGCAGGTTGAACCCTAATTACCACAACCAAGAAACTCCTTTAAGTTGGAGATCAAAAACTAATGAATGAATGCACATGGACGAAATTATGGAATAATAACATAGTGAAAGAAGCATCGTGACTTTTCAACTCTTCCCAGAGTCACAAGCTACTGATTGGACTCAGTTTTTGCAGTTGCGTTCCCATTCTGCTGTTGGGTCGGTGGCGGCTGCAGCTGCTGCTGGAACTGATGAGGCATGTTACGCTGGGAAGACTGTTGCAGGTGTAGCTGGAACATCTGGTGGTTAACAGAAAGCTGCTGGGAGACCATGCCCGTAGAGGGCTCGGAATCACCACCTGGCTCTTGAGTAGCAAGCTTTAATCTCCGGACCTCTGCAGTTAATGCTTCATTTAGAGCTGTCCAAGTTCAACACAAAAATTTAAGTTATTGAAACATAAAATTTCACAAAATGCAGCTGTAGGATGCACAACTTGGTACATGCATGCCCACCACTACCTCCACTTCTGAGACAAGCTATCATACAGTCCACCAGGTTTAACCGTTTACCATGCATGAGACCTTGTAAACAGCAGGCACGGGTGTGCGGTATTTATTTTTGTTAGACGAGTATCAATGATATTTCCACCATCTTATTAGAGATATGCGAACAGATAACAATAACTGTTTCAGGATGTTCTGCCTAATCAAGCAATATGATTTCGGGTGAATTTTAAGCTTCCAGCTATGGCCATTACACCATAAATTTATAATTTCGCACCTTCAATATGTTGCTGCCAAAATCTTAGCATTTTATAGATGTGAAACTGAATTGTTACAAATGGCCACAAGTTTCCAAATAGCACCCCGTGAAATTTCTTGATAGCATTAAACTTTTATAAAATAGTTTGGCACGTCACTTCTCATTGATACAACATCTTTCCCTCAAAGATACTTAATATAAGACCGACGGAAAGGGCAAAGAAAATGCAATGGAGTATAACAATTGGTTAAAAGTACAAACCATATGTTTCCTATACAAGATAAGAATTAACTCAGATAAAGACACCTAAAAGGCTCACAACATTGCACGCAGATAAAATTTATGAATCTTTCTTTCTCAATAGTTTTGCAAAAGTAGAAACTGCATAGTTGTAGTATTACAAAAAACATCACATGAGACGGCAAGAAGCATGAAGCCTGAGACACTAGCAAATGAAAGCTTTTCTTTTTTCCGAAATGCTTTTGATTCAAGGACCAAAATTTTGTAGCATGAACAGCAGGGAGCATGCCAAAGAATATTTTCTCAATACTATGACTTGAAGATCAATGCATTAAAACAACGGACAAGCTACACAAGAAAAAAAAATCATTTAAAGCACACTAATCAAAGAGATAAATTGCCATATACATCCAGTCAGACTCCATAACTGCATACCATACAAGTATAAAATAAAAACACTTTTTTCTGTCAAAAGAAAAAAGCTAAAGTTTTTAGAGAAAGAAAATCGTATTATACCATCACGGAGCTGTGCCTGTTGCTCCATGGCTTGAAGACGGAACTTCAACTCATTGTTCAGATTTGTAAGCCCAACCGAATCTCTCTACATAAATTTAAAGTTGAAGATGAGAAATGAGAAACAGGAAAGTAGGAAATATTGCTATAACATTCTATGCTCTAAATCCTCCACCTGTAAAAGTGTTAACTGAGCAGACAATGTGGTAGCTTCAGTCTGCAGAGTCTGAACTTTGTGCTCCAACTCCGAAATATACCTCATCTTCCGTTCTTTGGAACGGGCAGCTGATTGACGATTTGCCAAAATCCTTAAAAGGACCAACCAATAAGTTAAGTTCAATGCTTTTGTATGATAAAAAAAAAAAAAGTTGTTGTTACGTATATTAAAGTGGTAGTCTTGAACAGTAGGATACCTCTTCGCACGCTTTGGGTCAGTCATTGCAATCTCAGCAAGCTTCTCATTTGCCATAATTTTCTTCAGTTCAGCACCACTGAACTCACCATTTCCGAACTCCAAACTAAAGGAAGCTGAATTCCCATCAATTGAATTGCTATGCGAGAGTTGTCCAGGACGAGCTCCGGGTGAAGGTGGTAATTTTGGAGACTCTTCACCCAAGTTCAACTTCCCCATAAAACTTTCCATGGAAACACTTCTATAGTGTCTACAGCTCGGAGCAATGTCTCCTCCTGCAGTCCTTTTGATCCCTTCCCTCTTCTCAGTTGAATTCATTCCACCTCGTGATGCGCTGTTCCCACTTTCATTCACACTGCTTTCCGCTTCATTATCACTGATATCGCCTCCACTGGTCTTTGTTCCACTTGCTTTGCTATCCAAATCTTCATGATTCTCATTACCATTGTTCTTATCATCAGCCCCCGAAGAATTCAACGCATCAATATTATCCAAATTCATATACGCAGAAAACAAATCATCCACAACTTCCCCTTCCGATTTCCTCTCATCCATTCCTTCCACATTACCATCAGCAACTCTCTCCCAACTCGTTTCCTTTTTCACCAACTGAGTTGGCTTAGGCACTACCGAATCTTCCTTACCAGACACCGATCGTTCCAAACCACCCGCACCCCATAATGGAATAAGAGGTGGCGACGATTGCATTATCGGATTAAATCCAAATGGAATATCACTATTGGACCGCCTATGTGACTTTCGAGGGGGCAAACTCTCTCCAACCCGTGAAGAACTCCCCCTAGAAAAAGGTGAGGGTGGCAACAAAGAATGAGAAGCTGCATCCCTATCTTCCATAGACACATCAGCAGAAATTTGGTCTGAAACCGCCACAGATGACGAATCACGAAACGAGGCAGGGCTTAAGGGGGGCAATGAATCAAGTGAAAAGAAGGAAGAAGGTTGAGAAAAAGACCGAGAATGAGCACGCCCCGGACTAAAACTCTGAGAACCCATTTGCTGGCTGATTTGGCGGGACACGGGGATCTGTGAATAAGGTGAAATGGGTGGGATCTGGTTAGGGTGAGAAGGAGGGATACCAACTCTTTTAATGGTTGCATCACCACCGTTCAAGATTTGGCCAAAATGAGAGAAATGTCTAGCAGCCCCGACTTGGTTAGGATTCAACTGAGGTATTTCAAGATGGTTCATTGATAAAGGCTGTTTAGGAATTGAAGATGATGATGTTCCAAATGAAGATTGAATCCTTTGCATCACATCAGTGTTTCCCCCTTCATTGTCACCCATTTTTTTTTCTTTTTTTTCTCACAAACAACAATAATGCAACAAAAAAATTACACCTTTGAGACAAAAAGATGAAACTTTGGCCAATTCAAGCTTAACCCACTTCACTCCAAACCAAAAACAGCAACAATATAATAAAAACAAACCCTCTAGAATCTGCAAAAAAAGTAAAGTAGAAATCAGAACAAGATAATAGAGAAGGAAGAAAGCAAAAATTTATTAGTAGTGTTTAAGTATCTCGGATATGTACGGTGAAAGCAAGGAAGAAATGAGCAGAAACAAGGAGGAAAAAAAATGGCCGCCCGGCGTAATTTAACAAAATCAAGTTGGCAGCGCTGGTGCAAGTTAGCAAGGTAGCAGCACCGCTAAAATCTCCACCGAATTTAGCGGCAGGCGCTTTCTCTCTCTGTCTCTCTTTCTTTCGCTGGGGAAAATCATTAAAAAATATTTTAAATTAAAAAAAAAAAAGAAAAGTTTTTGGGTTTTGGGTTTCTCACTCTAGAAACTTTGACAAAAGAAACGGATGCTTTCTCTCACTCTCTCTGGAAAAATCAAACTCTGTCTTTTTTCTTATGGGAGACACGGATTTGATGATATGTACGTAATTTACGCGTGAAATTAACGAGAAATTTCATTTGAATTTGCATTTCAATTTGATTCCGACCTCATTTCACAATTTCACACCTTTGTCTCCGCAACGAATTTCTCCTAACATTAACATGCAAAAATAGTAAAAAAATTAATGATAAATCCTTTAAATTTCTTAAATATTTTCTTTAAATATAGTGTGAGGGGGTATTTTTGAATTTAAAAATTAAATTGGTCATTTTTTTTATTTAAAACTATTATTAAATAACTAAAAATAATTTTTTATTTTTAAATCGATTTGATATATATGTATCATATCTACTTAATATGTTATTATTTTATCTTACAAATATTTTATTTTTCATTTATAAATAAAACTGCCACATTTTTTCATTTACTTTTTTATTTTCTTCTCTTTCTTACCTCTTTTAATTTGATTTTTGCTTTAAACATTAAAATTTTTTTTTGTTCTTAATTGTTTTCTTCCTCTTCAATGATTTTAAAATTTTTACCATTAGCTTAAAACTCGGCACCATCACTTACAATGTATTTTGATTGATGAGAGAATAAGGAAAAGAAAGTAAAGTAAAGGAATATAAAGAAAACAAAACTCTCATTCTCTTATTTGGATAAATTTTTAATTTAAAAAAAATAAAATAAGTAAAAATCAAATAATTTTTTATTTTTTTTATAAATTCAATTTTTTAATACCCTAATTTGAAGAAAAAATAAAAAATATTAAAAATATTTATTTATATAAAAAGATTATTATGTTTATTTTTTTATTAATACTAAAAATCTAATAAAAAAACTTAAGCAAATCGCAATCATTTTATAATTTTTTTAAAACCATCTTTTTTTTCAAATAAGTTTTACATTTCTTTTAATATAAAAATTTTTTATAATTTTTTTGTGATTTAATTTTAATGAATGGTTGAATATGAATAAATATATTTTTTAGGTTTATAAGATGATTGATTAACTTAAAATCTATCAATGCATATTTATAAAATATTTTTTATTTTATTTAATTAAAAATTATTGATATAACAATAATTATGAGATCAGATAAAATAACAAACTTATTATGATCAAAGAGTATTTTAAAAGTACAAATAATTAAAAATTATAATTAAAAAATTTTATTATAATGAATTTTTTTTTTACTCATTATCTAAACAATAGTCATTATAATTTATTTTTTTATTAATTTTAATTATTCAAACAAAGATTATATGTATCTTTTTATTTAATTTTTTTTATTTTTATTAATATTTATTTAAACATAACGTTAATGATTATAATTTTTTTTGTGACTCACCAACCAAATTAGGAGAAATTTTTTTAGAAGAGAATTTCTTTTTGATATGGTAATATAGCGACATTTCCTGATTTTTTCTTGTAATAAATCATACATATATTTTTCGTAACTTTAAACGAACTTTTTTTTCGCACAGAATCATTTATGATGTTATTTTGACTTTTTTTCTCTGTATAAATAACGTGTACTTTTTTTTTTTTAACTTCTAACAAATCTTTTGATCAATAAATCAAAAATTACGTCATCGGCTATCTTCGTAAATTATTTTTCATGCATAAGATTTAATTTTGCGTTGAATTTTCCACAAGCTTGCTGAATGAGATTTCTTCACTGTTGGGCATGGCAGCTTACCTTCCAGCTCAGTTAGGTTTATTAATTGAAGCAATTTATGCTTGATTATCTCCTCGATTTGTCCTGTAATTGACACAAACAAAACTAAAAAAAAAAAAAAATTATCCATTTGGTTTTTCTTTCTTATATTTCCGTGATCGTATTTGACTTGAAGAAGAAGAAGAAGAAGAAGGCTCCCTGCTGTCTCGGGGTAACTAATAAGATTGATAATGGGTTGGATTTGAACAAATTTTAATTAGTCTCGAACTCGATTTGATATTATATTAATAAATTTTGAATTTAAATCGCTTTTATATTTGTATAAATTTTAATTAATTTGATTTGATTTAAAATTAATAAAATATTATTTTTAAATATAAAATATTTAAATGTATAAGTATATAAATATATATAAAATAATTTTTATAAAATATCAGATTAAATTTATCTAAAATTTGAACATGATCTAATCCTAATTTTTTCATAACCTTATCCGATCCAATTTTAAAATTTGATTTAAAAAAAAAATCGATCTTATAAAATCGAATCGAATCGAAATCCGTCGAAGATAAATTAAATTATCGACCTTAGTAGTTAATTTCATATTACTAATGCAACAAGCAACTAAAATTTAAGCGATACATGTTTTAGTAAAGATTTTATTCTTTTTAAAACATATTCAATCTTTTTCATTATTTTTTTTAATATCTCAAAATTATATCTTATTTATTTTTCTGAAAATATAAAACTTTTATCTTTTTAATCTTAAAATTATATTTTATAATTTTTTTACAGTAAAAATCATGATGCTTTAATATTATAATATTATATATAATTATATAAATATATTTTTTTAATAATTTATATAATATAAATATATAAACTACCAAATCAAATTATGATTGACATAAAAAAAGAAGAAATGGACCCCAATTTTATTTTATTTTTTCAAACCTTATCTAAAAGTTTAAATATATCAAGTCATTGATCCTAGTTCTAAGTTACCAGCAGACAGGTCCATGCAGTTGAGACCAAAAGAATGTATAAATATTTGCCTTTTTTTATTTTAATGAAATAAAAATAATCCATCATTTGGAGATTTTCCTTGGAATAAATAATATCTCACAACCTTTCATTCAAATGATGAAGCTGCCCTTATCAATGCCATAATTTGATGCACTGAAACTGACTCAAGATATAAAAATAAAATCAAATTATGGACCGGCCCAATTAATGTCTTAATGTCCCACAATTATTCATATTGACAAAAACTTAGGAAACTGTTTACAATTTCTCATAATGGTATTGACATTGCAATCCCACAATTGTCCAAAATTTTAAGATGCAAATGTTGCCAAAAACACAACCACGTCATCACCACATTTTTCTATGAGATCATTTAATTTATTTATGCATATATATATATATATTTATCATCAATGCTTATTGGTTTAAATTGAATTATTTAAAATTAAATTAATTATATTATATTATTTTTTGTTAATTGAATTAAATTTATTAATTTCAAAAATTAATCAGTCAAATTTAATTTGATTGGTTTAGTTACTTTTTTCAATTAACTGAATAATAAATATTTTTAATTAATTATATTTTAAAATTTTTTTTTATTTTAAATAAATTAAATAAAATTATCTAATAAAATATTTAAATATCAAAATATTATGTTAAAAATTCTAAAAATTTATAAAATCAATTATCCATATCATGAATTTTTTGTTTTATTTTTAAATTTTATTATATTTCGATTAATTAGATTTTCAAATTGAATTAATCAAAATTTTTTTAAATTATTTTAATTAACTGATAAAAATTAATTAAATAATCAATTGATAACTGAATTAAATTGATTAACTAAATTAATTCGATTAAAATCAAATTTTGAACCTCTCTAATTATAATCACCCCACTTTTCTCAGCAAAGCTTTAATTTACTTATTATTTTCTTAATATTAATTAAAAGCGTTGAGTTTCAATCGTAATGATTCGGTGAATTGGAATTTAGGAATAGTATCACCTTACCATAGTTTGGTAAAATTTTCCTTAATTTTTTTTTTTTTTTGAAAGGAGTTAATATCATATATAACTTACGAATTATAATAAAATATTTAATAAAATATTTAAATTTTAAAAATTTATAATATAATACTTAAATTATAAATATATAAATTATTATAATATTCATTCTTACCGTAATTAATTTAAAATAATTATTGTACCAATAAATAATATTAAAAATATTATATTAATTAATAAATTATAATTTTAATATTATATTAAAAATTTTTAACTTAAATATTATATCAAATATTTTAATATCATTTAAAATTAATCATTTTAAAAAGGAAAGGCTGAAACTGACTTTTATCAAATACAAAACAAATTCACATGCGAGAAAAAAAAAAGTACTGAGGACAAATAAAAAATCAAATGCAATCTTTCCCATCTTTCTTTCTTTCTTTCTTTATTCAGCCTGTACCTTTCAAAACAACCGAATATAATACAGTGAGGCACAATTATTAATACATTAGTCCAAAAGCTTTGGGGTCCAATGACGCTCTACATGCCACACTGCATTAACTTCATTCTTATATTAAAAAAATAATTATTTTATATGTTAACGTTGTAGCCTTTTATTTTTTTTATGGGTCTAATTTTTAAATTTCATAATCAAATTTATAAACTTTTACATGTCAATATATAAATAGTTTTAAAAATTATAGGTATTAAAATATAAAAAAATATAATTTTGAAATATTAAAAAATGAGATTGGTAGAATATGTAAAATATTATGGCGACATTTACGAGCCTGAATGCCTTATCCATACTTCCCGACAAGTGCGTGCTGTTACCCACGTGGCACGATCCATAACGTTGATGACATCCCATGTTTGACCGGATTGCGAAGGGGTCGATCATATTGACACGTGTTACGAAATACGTGAATATCGCTTTCTTAAACACGTGGCGAATTTTCGGTGCTGTGATAAGCTTATCCACTCCAATTTAAGCAGTTGTCAACATCAACAATAACAACTAAAGTGAAATTAAGGCCCACTTTTTGGGCTGGGCCCACTTTGAATTACTCAAACCCATTAATAATGTGATAGTGAGAGGCCGTTTTGTCAATGAATTGGCCTGGAAGAAAAGGACGACGTTTAAAGGAAAGTGTACAATTTTTTTTTTGTCATAAAGGAAACTGTCTCGCACATTTTCAACTTTTTTTTAGCAAAGCATAAGATTTTTTTTCGAAATTTTTAATAAATTCGTAAGTTTTTTTTTTTCGGAGCTTCCCATCGTCATCACCAAGTCAATCAAACTTTATCAAATTGGAAGGAACAAATCTTTGGGAGATTTGGTCTTAAAAAAATGGTGGGTCAGCTTTGATCTTCCATGCACAAATGCGAGACTCTCATTAGTAACTTTGATCTATATTTGTTGGTATTTGATTAAAGATTTATTTGAATAGATGATAAATAATAAAAATTATTATAATTATGATTGAAAAAAATTAATAAAAAATTTATATTAAATAAATCTCATTGATGTTTGAAACTTAATTGTATCTCATTAAAAGTGTAATTGCATCTAAACATAAGTTAAGTGAATTCTTTTCTGTTTTCTAGCACTTGGTTGCAAATAAAACATTATATACTTGCATCAACAAACATTCTAAACTCCATTTGTGCAACATCATGGCATTTGATCACAATCCAAACATGTTGGAAATGAGAATTATATACTCAAATTAAGTTCAGTTAATGTCATGGATGGTGCATACCGCACACGCCATCAAAATGATAAGATAGTGAAAGGAGAGAACCCCACATCCAATATCTGACAAAAACCTCACGGTTGATGGAACGCTTCGACAATAGACTTTGGAGACTGCCACAGCAATTTTGGATCAAAATTATACTGGCATGTCCTGCGGTCAATGTCCACACGGGCACGTGGCTGAGCCTTCTGCCCCACTTTCATAATTGATAAGTTGATGCTTACCATAAATCAAAATTGAAATCTTCTGAGAGTATAATGATCGAATAGACAACATATATAGTTGTACGCTAAAAGTTTCACTGTTTAAAGTTGCTACATGCCGTAGGAACTTGAGATAAAGGCAAAGAAAGTGTTGGTTTCATCAGCTCCTGGGCCTGTTCGCATGCACGAGATGATCCTTTTCTAGGATGCCGGAAGGCCATTTGGATTCTAACAATTACCAAGGGAATATAAGTTTGACTGAAAATTATAGAACCACTTTGTTCTGGCCATCTAGACTGCCGCATGTGTAAGCTCCTGTAAAATGAAGATTAACATTTTAGGAATTACAAAAACCTAAATCAATGGAGCAAAGAAACATCCTCTTATCCAAAAGCTCCATTCCTTTTCGTGTAATTCAATCCAAGTTCCATGGAATCCTTGTGTTAGACTGCATCAAAATGAGAGGTTCCAAGACAGAAACATAGTCCACGCTTAAGTTTGTCCATAAGCTACTTGATGGTGATGTAACGATTGGTCCCATGTCTAGCCCAGTGGCTCTTGAGATCCAGCGGTATTGAAAGATCTTGGCCTTCAGCAACCAGGCGACTAAGCAATTTTGTGAAGACATTACCACTCATCTTCCGGCCACCTACTCTCGCATGGCGCTTGTTTGCAATCTGCGGCAATGGGTATGATGACATAGTGGTAGTGCAACAAGATGACTGCCATCCACCATTTTCCCACTTGTAGCACTGTCGGGGAACTCCTGTGCATGTGCAAACAGGCGCGGGTATTCTGATTTCATCAAATTTTTCCATGTTCAACCCAATATCCTGATCATTCCCCTCAGATTTACACTTCTTTACCTCAGTACCAGCTTGCCTACTTAAATCCTCATCCACTTTCTTCATCTTTTGTGGTGACTTTGATGAAACGGGTTTATTCTCCTTTGTTCGTTTTACAGGACAAGACTTGCCTTCTTCACAAGCAATGGTAGATACTGGAAAGGCATCAGTAACATGCATTTCACTGTTGACAGTTTCATCCATATCAGTTGAATGGTATGTGGGGTGCATGCATTTTCCTCCGCGCTGAATACCACTACCAATAGGGAAGTTCATGGCATTTTCCCGATACTGTAGCACAGCTAAAGCATTATCTCTCTCCATTAAGGCACCATCCCGCTCAGCAAGTGCCTTATCCCTCTGCTGGAGGGCCTCGTCTCGTGTAGCCAGGGCTTCCTTCCTTTCAGAAACAGCAATATCCCGTTCTCGAATCGCAGCATCCCGCTCAGCAAGTATGGACATAATTTTCTTATTCATGACCAAGGCATTACTTTGTTCTTTCATGTGATGTTGTGGCATCATGTTCCACTGCGTGTATCATTTGCATCCTACTTAGATAAATCAAGTATTGAACAATAAAATAAAGACTAAAGCTACAAGGTCCAGTGTGGAATTGTTTGCCTTCTTCTTACCGGAGGGTGTACTCCTTTGTAGTAATCCAGCATATATCTCCCATTTTCTTGTTGCCCACCACCAGCCATCTAATATCAAGTCTGAATTAAGCTAGAAAATGTTCAGAAGCCAATCCACTCCTTGAACTTTAATGCAAACACAAAAGTTAACAAGTTTCAGGCATGTAGCAGGTGCTATCTGTTTATATGAGGAAAAAACCAAAGTTCAATTTCAAGCAATTTGTGAAGCAAATAGCAATTAAGTCAATAGAATTGCCCTCTAAATCTTAGTAAGTAAAAAAAATCAACAAAAACCCGCAACCAAATATCTTCTGAAAATTGAGAGAAAACCAAACAATCTGCTATTCCACTTTGAAAGCGGGCAGTTCGGAGAAGGAAAAAAAACAGCCACGACAAGTAAACAAAGAAAAATAACCAAAAGTCACAGAAAGTATAAACTTTTAACAGTTAAACAGAAGCTGTACATGTGACAATCACCAGAACAGAACCAAAAGAAAGAATAAAAAATCATAAATTTCATCTTTTTTTTTTCATATCATGAAACCCAACGAACTACGGTATCTCCCTGACAAGAGTACAAACTTATTAGTGAACTTAGAATAGATTTCTGATAAACAATTATTGCAACATATCAAAGTCAATACCAAGCAATTTTAGACAATATTAAAGAATATTTCGAGCTCAATTAGCACAGCTTTCTCCAAAAATTTTGAAAATCAGGCAAAAAAGGAGAACATGTGCACACATTATAGTTAACAAATGGGGCAAGCAGACAAATAAGGCACAACAACCACTAGTGATTGACGAGCATCCCGGCCGCAAAAAATGGTAAGCCGATACCTACAATGAATGCAGTCAAACAATGTTCTACTACTCACTAACACTTATGTTGGTTAGTTCACATAGAAGGAAAGCATCAAAAGGAGGCACCAAAAAAGCCCCATGAGCTTGAAGAAAGTTGTGACTATGAAAACAGGAGGCAGCAGCTCAAGAATAAGCGGTCCCTTGACACAATCTGTGCCAAATGAACTCAAGTCCACATTTTTCAATCACTAATCGTTATAAGTTTCAGAGGTATCTCTCTTAACACAACCTGAATTGGAAAATAAATTAAAACACAGGCACACAAACTAAAAGAAAAATCCCAAATAATTCTTGTAGAATATTTCCATACCAGTCCAAGAATAATGCAAATTCCTAATTTCCCAAACATATGTTAATGAAAAAATTAAATAAAAAAGAATGATTTTTTCTTTCACAGATCAGTTAGCACACTTCAAACGAAACTCAAAAGGAAAAACAAACTCTGTAAACCAACATATATGCATGTATGCAAGCCCTAAATAAGCACATTCCTTTATCCGAGATGATTAAACCGATCCTAGGACTAATCAGTAAGCTGTAAAAATAAATAATATAAAGAGAAAAAAATGAACAAGAAAATGTAAAAAAAAAAAAAAAATCGAACTCAGGTGAGTTCCAATTTTCAGTAAAGTTAGGGTTTTTTTACCACTATTGAAAATCTTTTTTTAATAATAATAAAAAATAAAAAAAAACTGAGCTTAAAAACTTAAAAAAAAATGCTCGATTCATAAGAAAAAACAAAGAAATTGGGAGATCTTGAACAGGAAAAAAGAAAAAAAATAATAAAACTTACTCTTTTTTTTTTTCTTTTATTTACTGAGAAATGGAGCAAGATTTCGAAGAAGCCTGAAATTTCGTTCTCAAAATTTGAAATGATTGTGAAAAGCGTTTGAAGAAATGATTTTGCTTCCCCCAAAAACGACGGCGTTTTAACAGTCGCCAGTCTAAGGATTTAAACGTGGTCGTTTCGGCGTTTTCTCTTCACTTTCTGCAATCTTTTTACAAATAATAATACATCAAATTCTTTTTATTTTAGTTGAATTATTTATTTGATTTTCAAATGATTAAGATTTGTATGTTAAAAAAAGTTTTTATTTATCTTTTGTTTTCTCATTAATATAAAAAAATTATCTCATATTGTTAGTATTGTAAACTTCGCCGGCAATTAAAGAATTGATTAAATTAATAAAAAAAAAAAAAGAATTTCAAAGCAATTAAAGCAAAAGAGGAAGCGAGTTGTTCCGAACGTACAGTTTTAGATCATGTAAGCTGGCATACTCTAGCACGTCTTGAATCTCTTTCACATCACGCATCAGTGGTGGTGGCTTCCCTTCTCTTCATCAATGACAATGTCGTTTTTTTTAATATCTCTTAGGGCTAAAGCTTGTTTCTTTTTTTTTTTCTGGGTTTTTAGTGAAACATGGAGCTTGGTCTTGTTACATTGTTGAGAGCCGCTTGGATTGCGGTTACGCTGCCTATTATTGTGGCTTCAATACCCAGTTCTAAACTGAGTTCGTTTCATCAACTTGCCTCGAGGTTTGCAAACAGAGGGAAAACCATGCAACAATCTTCTTACGTAAGTTTTATTATGTCTTTGGAAACGAGGAAAGCAAAGTTATGCATGTTCTATATTTGTAGATTTTTGCTTTATTTTTAAGTTATGAGAAGTCGAGAAATTTATGATGTTTCTTGTTTAATGTTAGTTTTGAGTTCAGGGTTATTGGAGTTTTTCAAATGAGTGCCATTTTTGCATGTTTAATGAGACCATGGTTTTCTTGAACTGAAAATGTTCAGCTGCCTAGTAAATGAATAAGCTGGTTTTCGTTTGTTTTTCCTTCTTTCTAGTTTCAGCTATTTTTTTAAAGATTACTCAGCATAGGCTGACTGTGATCTGCAGTGAGACTAGTGGACAGACATGGGGTTTCAAGTCTGCTTTGACAAGTCTCTAATGCAAGTCCAAAATTTTATTTGACCTGAAAAAAATTTATCTTTCCTATTATGCTTTTGCAATTGATCAACAGACATCAAGCATCATATTTTAGAAGTTTAGCATAGAAAATGTTCTACTTTATATTCCTCTTTAATCAATTTCCCTGTTCTAATAACGTTCTCTTTGGGGTAAGTTCCTGATTAACATTGTTTTTCCCTCGTTGGATTGCAGAAATTCACTGTTCCTCAGAGATTCTTCTCTCATTTTTACGTGGTGGCTGTTGTTTGGACAACCCTTTTACTCCTTACAACATGGTTGTATGCATATAGAATGGCACCACTGTCCTCTGAGTCATTTCATTTTTCACATCTTGCTAGCCTTTTGACAGGGGGATCACATATCTTTTCATTTCAGAAATCTCATTTGAGACCACTTGAGCACAGATACAGGGTCTGGCGAATCGTTCTTCTACTTTTATTACTGGAAGCTCAAGTCGTGAGACGCCTTTTTGAGACATTTTATGTATCCAATTATAGCCCCTCAGCTCGACTGCACATATTTGCCTATCTAACTGGCTTGTTGTGAGTTTCTTAAACATCTTCCAGCATATTGTTCTCTTTAGATGATCTAAACAAAACATTTTGATGGCTATGATTTCATTTGACAATGCTTTAAATGATGATCTGTTGTTGTTTTCCTTCCAAACAATTCTTCCATGGTTAGTTACTACATAGCAGCACCACTGTCACTTTGCTGCACTTGTGCGCCGGAGGTGTTTAAATTTACTCTGAACCTGGTGTCTGAGTTCATCGTTAAAGGAAAGAATAAGATGCCAGCCATTGAAATTGATTGGTGGGAATCTGTAAATACTCTTACGAAGCTTGGGTGGCGTCAGTGGATTGGTACTGCTATATTTCTTTGGGGTTGGATACATCAGTTCCGTTGTCATGCAATTCTTGTAAGTCAATGTCACCAACTTCACATGTTGCTGTTGCAAAGTGTCAAAGTGATCAAAGCACTGAAAATAACATGTGACAGATGCTTGTAGACAACAAATTGAACTTGTTTACAATTCTATTTATAACAAGATATTTAGGTATTATTTCCACAAGGTGTTGCAGAAGTCCATTAATGTGAAGCTAGCTCCTTTGCTTCTCTTACCATCCCATTAGCTGACAGGTTGAATATTCAATAGGGTTCAATGGGAGCACATGCTGAACAAGTTGATGATTACGTAATTCCTAGTGGAGATTGGTTTGATATAGTTTCATCTCCACACTATTTGGCTGAGATTGTAAGATTTCTCTCTTTCTCCATCTATCCCCGAGGGAAATACAAAAATTCTTATCAGCTTGTATTTCTAATGACTGCATGGTTTCATTTGCTTCTCACTAATGATGAAGGTCATATACGCCGGCTTGGTGGTTGCCAGTGGAGGAGGAGATCTGACCATTTGGTTACTTTTTGCATTTGTGGTATTGTTTTTCTTTTTTTTCCCTCTAGCACAATAGAAACCTCCCAGCTGTTCTTCCATACCGTGCATGAACTGAAAATTTTGTATTTAATGGTGGCATCCAGGTGGCAAATCTGGCGTTTGCAGCAGCTGAAACACATAATTGGTATCTTCGCAAATTTGAAAATTACCCAAGAAATCGATTTGCCATTATACCATTCGTCTACTAATGTTTATAACCCTTATACTAATTCTAAATGTTGGCTGTAGCCTGTAATTTCATGCAGCTGTTGTGTAAATAAGTTTTTAAGGATGTTAGTAGGAGGAAAGGTGAAATGTGGGGTTTATGTACGTTTGTATGTGAGAAAAAAAACCTGATGATTCTCCTTGGCATCAATGAACGGATAATAATGGTATAACAATGTTGCATGTTATTTTCATTTTATGGATCAGTAGTTGAAGAAATTTGTTTTTTTTTTTTAATACAAAAAAGGTCCTAATTTGAAGATAGAAAAATAGATTGCAACTAATAAAATTTATATTTTAGATTTTAAATGTCATATTTTAAATATAATTGCATAAATAGACTAAATTAAATTTCAAATCATGATAAATTTATTTTCACCGTACAATGAAAACATAATTGAATAAATTTTATGCCAATGAAAGTAGGGTCGATAATTTAACCCATCACTGATGGGTTTCGACCTGATCCGACCCTAAGGAGTCGATTTTTTTTTTTTTTTTAAATTTAAGTTTTTGGTCGGGTTGGGTAAGATTATGTAACAATCAGGATCGGGTCGGATTTGGGTTCGGATTTTAGGCAAACTCGATCCTACCCGATATTATATAAAAAATTATTTTTTAATTAATTTTTTAATTTTTTATTTATATTTATTTATATAATGATATTTTTAAATATTTATATTTTAAAAATAATATTTTATTGATTTCGGATCGGATCAAATCGAATACGGTTTATATAGTATCATATCGGTGTTGGTTCGGATATAAAAAAATAAAAAAAAATTTAGATAAGATCAAATTCAAGTTTAATAACACATAAAATCAGATCGAATTCAAGAGAAACTCTAAGCGGAAGTCCCATTCTCTTTTCAATTTATTTAAATATATGGAACTAATTAGCTAAAGAGACTTTCTTTTTTTTTCTTTTTGTAATGATATTATTATTGAACTAATTAGCATTGGACCTTTCGTACATGCAAAACAAAAGTGGGGAATGGACCTAATGGGCTAAAGTGGGACAGTTAGCCCATCAACCAAAAAAAGGGTTTAACTAAGCCCGTTTGGGACTACAAAAATTTGATGGCCAATTTCCATCCGCTCATTTCTTCTTACACGGCAACAAAAACGGGAGTCAGGGAGGGAGATCAAAAGCTCTCTCGAAAGAAAGCAACCCTCGACTCGTTTTCTTCAGATCTAAACGACATCGTCTCAGATCCACTAAATCCACAATGTCTTCTACTTTCAGCGGCGATGAAACGGCACCTTTCTTCGGCTTCCTCGGCGCCGCTGCTGCTCTCGTCTTCTCCTGTAACCAATCTTTACTGCCTCATAAATTTACTGTTAATTTTAATTCTTTTAAATTGCATCTATGATAATTTCCATTTATTTGATTGTCTGATAGAGAATTGATGGATCACTGTTTCTAGCATTTTAGCATTATTCAGCGAACCAATTCATAAAAGAATCTTGATTTTTTTTTATTTTATTGTAAATTATGTCTAAATTTGGTGGTATCCGATATGGATCTTTGATGTTAGGATATGAATAATTATGAAATAAATTATTATTTTGATACTGCTGAGTAAATTTTATGCTTTGAAGTTTTAGGTTTTATTGGAATTAAATGACAGAATTCATGTAAATTGCAGTCTTCTAGATGTAGATGAGACCTGGCTATTCATGTATTCATGTTATATAAAATATTGAAATTCGTGTATTTTTATCATGTTGTACACAAAAATTGCATGTCACAATTTGTGTCGATGCGTAAATATAAAATACATTTTTTTGGTTTTGTTAAACTCATCTATAATTATTACTAAAATTTTAATCCGTGTCACTTTCATTCCCTATTTTCGTATTGTATGTATGTTGTGTCATTATGTTGTATTTTAGATTGCCAGGTCAGTAGATCTAATTAAAATGTTGCATTGAAATAAGCTCAGAATTGTTTGAATTGAAAAAAAAAAATTGAATTTGTGAATTTAGGTATGGGAGCTGCGTATGGGACAGCTAAGAGTGGTGTGGGTGTGGCTTCAATGGGTGTGATGAGGCCTGAGTTGGTGATGAAATCTATTGTACCAGTTGTTATGGCTGGTGTTTTGGGTATTTATGGGTTGATTATTGCTGTTATTATTAGTACTGGGATCAATCCTAAGGCCAAATCATATTACCTTTTCGATGGTTATGCCCATCTTTCCTCGGGTCTTGCTTGTGGCCTTGCTGGGCTTTCTGCTGGAATGGCAATCGGAATTGTTGGTGATGCTGGTGTCAGGTATGGTGCTTTTATCTTAGATTGGACATGTTGATTAACACCAGATGTAGTTGTTGTGAAAATGTTGATTTATACTTTTAATAGTTGCTTTATGCCCTTGTGGAGTTTACTAGCATAGCGCACTCTTCCCGTATTTGGTTTGCGTTGATTTTAACACTGTTCTCGTCTCTAGACATTGCTCCTACTACAATGATGCAGTTTCTGGGTTTTAGGCACTAATGGTAGATTAGCGCTGTTTTAAGTAAATGAAAGTGTCAGGAAATTGCCATGATGGTGACATCTAATAAAAGCTATAGTTTGTGAGTCCGAGTATCCTAATCATAAGAAAATTACTGATAAAGTGATAATGTTATATTGACATGACACAAAGATAGCAATTCATTTACTCAGTTTGATATGGCCTTCAGATTGCTCCATCTGTGATATGTTTTCTTTATTATCATGGATGATATTTTGAATGTTTCGTGAAATCAAACATGTTCTTTCAATTAATTTGTGTCCGATAATGTTTGAACGGTTTTATGTTGCAGAGCTAACGCACAGCAGCCAAAACTTTTTGTTGGAATGATCCTTATCCTCATCTTTGCTGAAGCTTTGGCCCTTTATGGCCTTATCGTTGGCATCATCTTGTCTTCCCGAGCTGGCCAGTCCAGAGCAGAATAAGATGCTCGCAGAGCTGCTTAGTATTCTTTTATTGCCTATCTGTTGTACTGTACGGAAAAGAGTATCGACCATGCTCAGTTTCATTATGATTGGATAGCAAGTGCAGGGTTCACATTAACAATGGTGAAAGCAACTACTTGAGCAGTCATTTAGCGGTTGCTCTTTCCTCGTTGTAGAATTAGAATTGAGTTTCTCTTAATAAAATGTCTGAAGCGTTTCCCTGTTTGATTTTCATTTGTCAATGTCTCTTTGCAGAAGCTGAAACTATTAATGGAATTTTAATTTCACTGCATGGGATCAATTTTCATAAGATTTTTAATCCCTTTTTCTTCTCTTGCTCTGAAATCACACACTTTTTTGGTGTTCCAATCCCCAAAAGAATAAGATAGATTTGGAATTGAAATCTTTCTATGGCCTTTTCCAAAATGATGAACTAGATTCCAGTAGAATTCTGGTTCCAATTGAATTTTATAATGAACAAACCTCTTTTTCATGACCATCAAAGATAAGAATGACAACAAAAACAAAATTAATATGAACAGATTGAAATGTTCAACTAAAACTAAAAATTTGCGAGTTTCATAAAAACAAGTAAAGCATTAATATATAGAATTCTTGTTCGAGTTGGATTAAAACATCCTTTATTCCGTATCCTTTCCTCCCTTATCGAATTTTGGGAATTGCAATGAAACAGATGACATTGATCCTCAGTCGACTCTTTCTCTCCCTCATTGAGTCAAAAGGGTTAAAGTTGCCTTTGAGATTAGGTATATAGCCGAAACAACGTTTGATGTTGTGGAACCCTTTGAATAAGAAGATAAGAGAGCATACATCCCATCGTTGTATGTAATCCAATCGATGCATTTAGAAGAAGAGAAAAAAAAAATTAGGTAAATGATGTAGAAACGCAAAGCATCTGACTTTTGGTACAATAAGATAGAGCTGCGTTTTCCTAACCCCATAAGGAAACAAAGCAAAGCAAGGCAAAGCAACATTTATACCTTTTGTTTCTTCATTTTAGAAATATTTTCTTGATTGAATGAAAAAAGAAATATTTGATAAATCGATCAAATTTTTTTATTTGGAAAAACAAGGGTTCGATTTTTTTTTAATTAAAAATACGTATTATTTATTAAATTAAACGTTCGGATGGCATGAAATATTTAATTAAGAGGTAAACAATCTTAATTAGTGCACCACCTTAATCATCGTTATAGGTAGTGGGAATTTTGGTATATAAATAGACCAGTTGACATAAATTTGTGATCAGATGATCAGAAAAAAAAATTATTTAATTTGTGATCATTAAGGTATAATAAAAAAATAAAAATTTTAATTTAAAACTTTAAAATGATAAGTTATTCAACAAAAAAAAAGCATGATTAAATTAGAACTTGGAAAGTGAGATTCACTTTAAAAAGGGCCATATAATATAAAGTAAAAATAGCTGATTACTTTTAAATTATTATTATTATTTGGCAGAGATCTGTAGACAAATGTCAATTTAGGTGAAGTTATATTTTAACCTAACAAGATCAAAAGTATTGTTATTATAAACATTAATGAAGACATAGATGATTCTTTTGTAACACAAACCACAATTTTCTTGGAGGGTTTTAAGTGGTCCTTTTTTTTTAATTAAAGTTTTGTATAATGATCAACATCAAAATTTCGGTACCTTGGGTCATCAATGCATTATATATTACTTAAATAACATGCGATAACGTTTTGATGAAGATTAAGAATGGCAATGGATAGTAAATAAAAAGATATTTATTATTATTCGATTCGTTTATGTTAATTTTAAATAATTATAAACAGATAATTAATTAATTTAAGTAAAAGATTTATTATTCATGATGGATTTGAAGTGGATACAAATAACATTTATTGGATATTCAATATCAAAATTTGTTTAAATTTTAGTAAATAGTAATTTATTTTTAAATCTGTTATCTATTTATATATGTAAAATATATAAAATTTTATATTTGTAAGAGATTTCGGATCTTAAAAAATAACTTTTATTTATTATTAATTAAAAGTGAACTCAATTTTTAAATTAAATTTTTGTTTATTTTATATTTTAATAAAAAATTTAAATAAATAAATATTTTAATGGATTCAAATTTAAATAGTAATATTAAATTTAAACAAATATTTAAATAAATTTGAATATA